TTGTTTTTAAACTTAGTTGTGCGAGAAGGTGCAGTGCTTCCACCTACACCTCCATCGTGGCAGAAGTCCCTTAATTTTCTTTTTTTTTTTAAGGTAATTTTTTAAAAAAGTTTTATTTATTTATCTTTAGAAGGGAAAGGAAAGAGAGAGGGAGAGAAATATTAATGTATGGTTGCCTCTCATGTGCTCCCCGCTGCCTGAATTTTGTTTTTAATGATCCTTCTTGAGTGTTAAACATTTTTAATTGCTTGCTATAAATGAGGAGAGAACGGTGTTCTTCGCCTTCACTTTGCCAGCAGCAGTGTGACTTTCCTGCTTCTGCAAGAAAGTGTGAGGACCAAGCAGAGCCCAGGGAGCCCTATACTCACTCGTGACCCTTTGGGGGGTGGGGCGGGGCCCCGAGGCCTGGGATTTGTCCCAGCCATTCTCAACCCACGCTTTGTAGAGCGTACCTGTGACATGGCAGGGCACAGCAGAAACCAGTGTGGGTTTTTTTCCTTTTTAAAGTATTTTTCACCCTGGTCGGTGTAGCTCAGTGGATTGAGCACAGGCCTGTGAAGCAAAGGGTCGCCGGTTCGATTCCCAGTCAGGGCACTCGCCTGGGTTGCAGGCCATGTTCCCAGTAGGGGCACATGAGAGGCAACCACACATTCATGTTTCTTTCCCTCTCTTTCTCCTTCCCATCCCCTCTCTCTAAAAGTAAATAAATAAAATATTTTTTAAAAAGTATTTTTCATCCGTAATGTGTAGGGTTTCTACTTGTGTAAAATGTTCTGTGCACATGAAATGAGGTATTTGTGAGTGATCGTGTTTTGGGACTGGTAGCACCGCAGTTCTGAGTCAATGGGCCCCGTCTTCCAGGAGCTGGTTGCTGCTGTGCGGTGTGCCCGCAGGAACAGGCCCCTCACTGGCTGCAGCGCTCGGTGGGCGCTCACGCCCGCAGGCCTGAGCCTGCGAGGAGCACCAGGACCGGGAGTCACCCACGGCGGTGGTCACCCAGTCCCACTGGGGGACTGCGGGCGTGCACCGCCAGGGCCCACTCGTGCTCTCTGGGGTTTTACTGTCACTCCAGCCCATCCTGAGAGGTGGGCACAGATGAGTCTCGCACATCGTCCCCACCCCCCAGAGTTGCCTTTTATGGGGAGTAAGAAGTCACTGAAGGTCTCTGTGCTCCCCCTGCCCATCTGTGAAATGGGACCGGTGAGGGCACCCTCTTGAGTTGCTGTGAGGGGGAGATGTGGGCGTGTGGGGAAGCCGCAGCGCAGTCTCCAGCAGCTGATCGGTTGGTGTGGGTGTAGAAAACGCTGCTGCTGCAGCTTCCTGACTTCCATTCTCTGGGGCCAGGGGACAGGCCGGGCAGACTGGGTGGGGCTTGGGGCTTGGTGGGCGGGGCTTCCTCAGCGCAGTGTGGCTGTGTCCCGTCAGCACTTGATGGATGTTGCAGTTGGAGTTTTATGTCATTTTCACGAGTCATGACATAGTGTTTCCCCCAGTCTTTTTTTTTTTTTTTTAGATTTATCTTTAGAGGGGAAGGGAAGGGGAGAGGGGGAGAAATATCAATGTGTGGTTGCCTCTCAAGTGTCCCCTTCTGGCAACTGGCCTGCAGCCCAGGCATCTGCCCTGACTGGGAATCAAACTGGACTTATTTGGTTCGCAGTCTTGAGCTCAATCTACTGAGCTGCACCAACCAGGGCTCCCCCCAGTCATTTCAACAAGAGTGGCTTTTATATTTGTAGCTGTAAAAAGACACATTCAGTTGGGTTTGGCCCTAGGTGCCCAGCCCCTGCTTTCCAGAGGATTACACAGGCTGCCACCCTTGTCCCACTAGTTGGTGTGACCAGCACCCAGCACACAGCCCAGGTCGTCTTTTCACCATGTTCTCCACCGCGCCGTGGGCTCCTTGCTGGGCGGCAGCAGCCCGTGTCCGCGGAGGGACAGTGCACACACCGGCCAGGCCCTTGCTGTTCTCGGGCTGCGCTGGCTGCCTCCCAGGGCCTCTCTGCCTGGTAGCAGGCCCGGCACATGTGCTCACCCACCTGTCGGGGGAGCATCCCAGGCTTGGGGGTTGAGTGACTCACCTGAGGCCACATGGGTCACAGCTGGTCACTGACAGAGGACAGGTCGGGCCCCCGGCCGGCCAGACCTCTGGCTCGGAGCCCAGCCCCATGTGGGAAATGAATCAGAGGAGGGATGCCGGTGAGAGAAACTGGTTCTCTCGAGACCAGCAGCGCTGGCGTGTGCGTGGCACCCGTGGGCCCTGCAGCAGTGTCTGTGCGCCGCCGGAGAGCGAGGCGCAGCGTCACGGCACTGTTATGGCAGAGCCCGGCCGAGGCAAAAAACGTCCAGGTAACAAAATTGTGACACAGTAATGGGCTTTCTTGTGAACTATGAAATAACGTGCTCTACCAGCAAACCTGATTTCGCAAGGTTATCTTAATAGGTATTGATGATTATAAATGTTAATGTGAAGATAAAATATCTGTAATGGGATATGAAAGTATCAGAAAAATTTGTAAAGATTTTATTTATCTGTTTTTAGAGAGATAGCGAGGGAGAGAAACAGTGATGTGTGAGAGCAACGTCAGTCGGCTGTCTCTCCCACGGCCCCGCCCGGGGACCGAACTTGCAGTCCAGGCATGTGCTCTGGCCTGGAATCGAATCTAACCTTCCACTTTGCAGGGTGATGCCCGACCCACTGAGTTCTACCAGTCACGGCTTATCTGGTGTCTTTTGATGAAAAATACACATACTAGTAAAATTACTGTATTTTGTTGCCTACATACTTAATTGAATTGAACAGGACATTTTAGAGTTTAGTTAAGATGAAAATTAGTATTTTCTCAACCAAGTTCATGGACTTCCTGAATTGAGTATGTGGACCTCTGCTTTAAAACGGTTTTCAGATCTCAGATTGGTCTTCATGACAGAATCTGTGTCTCAGAAGGAAAGGGACTGTGGGTGTCACCTGCTCGAGGGCTTTGCCTGTGAGGACCCACATCGTCTGACTCCGTGTTCACGAAGCCCCTCCTGCTGCGTTGTGGTCGTCAGCCTCCCCTGTGGCTACAGTGTTAAGCATCATCCTGCTGGACTTGACACAGTAAATAACAGGCTTGGCTTGGCTTTATTTATTTTGTGCGGGAACTTGTTGTGCCGGGTGGCCTCGGTGATGAGGTGCCAGTAGAGATGTCTCCAGGCCAACTGTTCCTTCACGTGGCTTTGCCATCAGCAGCCTGCCTGGCCCCGTGATGGGAAGGCCAGCCCATTCTGGGCCACCAGGTCCGGTGCCACCCCCTCCTCGGAAGGGCATTTACACGGCGATTTGGGGCCTCAGTATCAGGGCAGCTCCTGCGTAGCTTTTTTCCTGAAAAATTTCTCCTAAAAACAAAAACCCGACTAGAGAGGACGGACACTTTGAACAAATAATTGAATTTTCCAGTCCTTGAACATGATACATATCTGTTTCTTTACCCTCTTTTCATTTCGGTGATGTTTTGTAGGATTCATTGTGCAGGTGTTGGGCTGGAGAGGACAGGCCAGGAAACTGCTCGCAGCCAGGCTGTAGGAGGGGAGGCGGGGTCGCTGGAGAGGCGCCTTGCAGGGGCCCTCTGAGAAGGGCAGGGTTCTGGGCTACCTGACGGAGAGATCACCGACGGGTGCCTTGTGCCCTGCCCCTCGCTGGGGGGAGTGGAGGGAGCCTGTGCTCTGGGGCTGGGACCAGCCTGTCTTCTGCCTCTGTGTCCACACTGTGCTTTATAAACCGCAGGCAGACACGCCTTGTACAGTGAATGCCTCACAGATGCTGCAGACCATGTGGTGGGTACAGGGGTTTATTACCAGAGAGATACCATCACTTTCCTCTCCTCCTTACCAACAACCAGTTGTTTAAAAGCATTGCATTTTATGTTCCAATTGATCATTGCCACACTCTGCGTTCCCCAGCAGTTTGAATGACTCCTGGTCCAGCTCCTCTCTCCTGCAGGGCGGTGCCAGCCTCGCAGGCATGAGGGAGCCCCTCTGCCCCCCAGGCCTTGGCTTTCTGAGAACTGACACCCACGTTTCCCCCAGTTGTAAAGAAATGGTTGTCTCTCTCTGCCAAAGAAGAATGTGTTTTGTTTGCCTGGGGCCGTTTGATTTTTTTCCATGATCGGTTCCTCTGACTTTCCCACCAATATAACCAATACAACCACCTAAGGTCACAAGTCAGCATGGCAGCAGGCCTCTTTCTAATCTGTGTTCACATGAAACTCTTGTGAGACATGTGGACTTAGAAATGTTTAAATCAGGCATTAGATTTTATATTGGAACCATTGTCTGAGGTGTAGAGTAGCCATCTAACAATTCAACATTAAGTCATACAGTAGGCGTGTTTTTGGTGTCTGCCCAAGTGCACTTGTAGAATTGTTAAATTCTGATACAGAAACATGTAAGTTGCCATCAAGCTGTCTTAATTGTTCTCCACGAAAAAACTGTTTTCAAAATTTGGACTATAGTGTTTCGTCACATGGCCTAACACTTGCGTGTAACACGATAGAAAATGATAGTTGCACACTGGAGCGGACGGTCGTGTCCGGAGGAGTCCTCTCCACCTTTGCATGACAACCTGAGACAGAGGGGAGCTGGGTGAGGCGGCCCAGCTCCGTCCTAACCGTGCCGTCTCTCCAGCTGTGCGTGCAGTGGTGGATTGTGGGCCGCAGCTTTCCAGTCTGTACCGTCGATGAGTGAGACGGGACCTGTTCCACCAGCATGGGCTGTTCATGGCTTAAAGTTAAACAACCTGTTCTGAGAGAGACTCCTAACAGGGTCTGACAGCGTGAGGTCCCGGCAGGTGGTGGGACACTGCCAGTCGTGTGAGGGGCTGGCAGACCCTCCACTGCCGGCCTGTCCTCCTCTGCTTCCTGTGCGAGCCCCGCCCCTCAGCCCACTCCTTGCCATGTGCGACCCCCACCCCCTGCCCCCGTGTTTTATAGTAACGTGTTTCTGTGCTGGGGCCGGCCTGCCAGGCCCCAGACCTTCCACAGCTACCTGGAGGACATCATCAACTACCGCTGGGAGCTGGAGGAAGGGAAGCCCAACCCGCTGAGAGAAGCCGGCTTCCACGAGCTGCCCCTGCGCACGCGGGTGCAGATCCTGCACCGCCTCTGCGACTACCGCCTGGACGCCGATGACGTCTTCGACCTGCTCAAGGTGCGGCCACTGCCCTGTCCCCATGCGGCGGCTCAGCCTCTTGTCTCCTGGCACATGTGTGCGTTGCTGACATCCAGTGGCACACCAAAAACATATTTTTTGGTGCTCCGACAAAAAAATAAGTGTTTGATTTACTCACAAGATGCCTACTATTGGCTGTTTCTTTTTAAAATTTGACAGTGAAAGGGAAAGAGGTCAGTGCCCCTAAATAGGGGGGCGTTGCATGTTTTTAAAATTCTTGCTTCACAAGCCTGTTAAAAACCACTGCCTTACAGCCCCCCCCCCCCCCCCCCAAAGCCAGCACTCCAGTATGTAAAATCTGAACACACTAAGAGACACCAGAACTTGGTATGTGTAACTAGTCCTGGAACTCTTTTTCTCCCTGGAAGATTTTTAGTTTTGAAGATTTTATTTATTTTTGGAGAGAGGAAGGAGAAAGAGGGAGAGAAACATCCATGTGTGGTTGCCTCTCATGCACCCCCTACTGGGGACCTGGCCTGCAACCCAGGCATGTTCTCTGACTGGGAATCAAACTGATGACCTTTGGGTCACAGGCCTGCGCTCGGTCCACTGAGCCACTCTGGCCAGGGCTAGTCCTGGGACTCTTAAATTGGCGGAAATGGTGTCTCTAAAACAGCCCCTGTAGTCGGAGGATTCTAAGGCACCTGTGTGTATGAATGTATGAATGAGTTTCGAGTTTGCTTCCATTCCTTCTACATGCGTTGAGTTGCAGACGACACAGAACAGTCTTTGTGTCATCAGCCAAATTAACCACTGAATTTGTTTCCTAAGGCCTGAAATTTGATTGAACATAATCGAAATGTTTATTGAAAACTCGGAGACTTTAACCCATCTCTGCAAGTGAAACTCATCCCTACCACAAACATAGATCATCACCCGTGTGCTGGAGAAGGCAGGGGTAGCCTGCCCGCCTCTGGATTCTGTGGCTGGATTCATTCAGATGCCCGTCTCAGGGACGGAGCAGGCAGAGGCTTTTCGCCTGCAGGGAGGTTGGCTTCTGGCCCTCTCTGGGCAGCAGTGGTGGGCTGTGCTGATGACTTCCCAGCTCAGCCCTGCTCGTGGACACGGAGTAGCTGTTACTGTGCAGTTCAGCGCAGTCCTTTCTGTAGACAGAGGCGTGTGCAGCGGTGGGAGGGCCAGTGCCATCTGGGCCTGGGTGGGCTGTGGTCTCCGCAGGACAGAGAGGTGGTCACTTGGCTCTTGGTGGAGCTGCTGGGGCAGGTCAAGGGGGATGGCGCTTCGCAGCGCAGGCTCCGCCCTGTCATCGTCCCTCCTCGTGTGGATGCACAAGCAGAACAAGTCTGACCGTGCCTGGAGCTCGTTCACCAGCTTGCTTTGGGGCATCTCTTCTTGGAGCGATGACAGTGGGATTGGGCTGGGAGCCGTTCTCGGTGTCTCAGACGACGATTCCCTACCCTGGGCCCACTCAGGCTGCGTCTGAGTGTGAGTGCTGAGTCCTCCCTGTCCTCTCTCCTGTTTTGTCCCCCACTCCGCCCTCCCCTCTCTGCACTTGCACCCAGGGCCTGGACGCAGACAGCCTCCGAGTGGAGCCGCTGGGGGAGGACAACTCTGGGGCGCTGTACTGGTACTTCTATGGCACTCGGATGTACAAGGAGGACCCAGTGCCAGGGAAGCCTGGCGGCGAGCCCGCCTCTAGCAGGTACCTTGTTCAGGGTCGGGGCTGCGGGTGCTGTTGTGCAGGAACACCATTCAGACTGAATACCTTAGTGGCTCTGTGTTACCTTGGTGAGGAACTGGCTGTCCAAGTGCCTGCCAAGGGGTGGCCTGAGGCAACTTCGAGCAGCAATAGCAGGAGTCGGCTTGGAGCCTCTGTTGCAGGCAGGGCTGCCCTGGACTCTGCAGTGGCACCTACTCCAGTCAGAGGCTGCTCTGGGCTGTGGCTCGTCTCAGGAGCCAGGGCACTTTGCTGCTGTGGTGTCCTCCACGTGCTTTGTTCTTGAGGCTTTGTCTTCCTACTAGAATAGGTGATTGGCTCCATTGGGAGGGGACCAGGAGGCCCTTAGGGAAGGCCTGGAGCAGCCACGCTCACTGCCCCAGACGGGGACGTGCTGTTTGCACAGCACCCCGCAGCGGCGCCGCCCTCCGGCCCTCCACGCTTTCTTCCTGCTGCTCGCAAGGCGCCAGGTCTGGCTCAGGTCCCAGGGTCAGGAGGTGCTGGCTCCCTGGGGTGCCGCCACCTTTCATTGGTGACCCCCCCACCCCCACCCCGGCGGAAGAGCTGTGCTCGCAGCACTTCTGCTCTGTGACTGGACGCTGCTGTCTGACGTGCTGTTTCTCAGGGACAGTGAAGGACAGAAAACTGTCGCTGGTGTTCCTGGGAAAACGGGAAAGAGAAGAGGAAGGCCCCCCAAGCGAAAGAAACTGCAAGAGGAGGCTTCAGTGAGGTAAGTCAGCCCTCTTGCTGGACAGGACCTTACTCCCCTTACTCCTTCATCCTTGACTTTTCCTTGTCCTGGGAACGACCTGGTACCTAGACTGTGGGCGTCGTGACGTGGCTGGTGTGCCCCGTGGGAGCTGGGGGCCCGCTGCAGTTCCTGTCTCTCCGCCTGTGGTCTGATTGGATGAGGGCAGTACTGATGGGGCCGGCTGAGAGACCCGGGTGTGTGCTCACGCAGGGCGTGTTGGTGCTTTCGGATTTATGCCATGTGTGTGTCTCCACAGGAGCGCGTAGCAAGTTATTCTGTGATTAATGGCCAGCATTTTAGTAGAACTACATATCACACATGAGTTTAGAAATTAATTCTTTGTTTCACAGGCCCACGCTCAATCCACTGAGCTATACCAGCCAGGGCTAGAAATTAATTCTTTTCCATTAGGGAGATTTTAGCAGCGAATGTGCTTTGCTTAGAATACAGTTTTCTAAAATAAAGTCAAGACAATAAACATGTTTTTCTTTTTTAAAATTAAACATAAAATAATTTAAGAGACTTTGTTACATTTATCAGAGTTTGATTGCATTTTACACCTAAGAAGCAGTGTCCCGCTCACCCCCCTGCCAGTCTGACCAGCCTCTCGGTGTCCCCTGTGCGGTGGCTGCGGGAGCTGCCCTGCAGTCTCCCCGAGCACACGCGGTCCCCCCCCCCCCCCCCCCCCCCCCCCGTCTGTTGCTGGGTCCTGTGCGGCACTCCCGCCACTTCCCTGTTAGTGCAGCTGAAGCGCCTTTGTGCTGGGAACACATACTCCTGGTAACAAGCGTGCGTGGGCTTGTGCTGCCCCCTACTGGTGACTTTATTCTTCAGAGCTCTGTATTCAATTCAGTATCTAAATATCTTTAAATTCCTCCGTTACACCAGCCACATTTGAAGTGCTCAGTGGCCACTTGTGGCCCTGAGCTGCAGTGTTGGCCAGCAGCAGGATGGAACCTCTGCCCCCAGACCTTCCCGTGGGGAGGGGTGTCCAGGAGGAGGCGGGCATGGCAGCAGTGCCCTCCGCCCTGCCACGCTGAGTGGGCACTTCCGTGTCTCGTTGCCCGATGCCTGGACTCCAGTGAGGCTGCTGCCCTGTTGGCTCTGTTCTCCAGGCATTCAGACCACCTGTCCCAGGGTCGTGGGGGGCAGCAGGCCTTGTCCTCAGTCTGTGCCCTTGCTCTTGTGTGGGGCTCGGTCTAACCGCGGGGCGGGCAGCGGTGGGCAGGAGGTGGGACTCAGTGGATTCCTGTGTTACTGTTTCTCGATTGTTTACTGGTTTGCATTAGCAGCTGCCACCCCGCTTTTGCCCACCCTGCACTCTGTCCAGCACAGGCCTGAGTCCAGGAGGGTAGGAGAGCCCTCACCGTTCTTTCCTTCTTGGCATTTAACTCTCAACACGGAGCTCCTTGGTTTTTTTATTTTCATGTTTTAAAAGTTAATGTTTGCGCCCTGGCTGGTGTAGCTCAGTGGATTGAGCGCGGGCCTGTGAAGCAAAGGATCATGGTTTGATTTCCAGTCAGGACACATGCCTGGGTTGCAGGCCAGTTAGTTTCCAGTGGGGGACACATGAAGGCAACCACACACTGATATTTCTCTCCCTCTCTCCTTCTCTTCCCCTCTCTCTGAAAATAAATAAATAAAATATTTTTTAAAAAAGGTAATGGTCAGTCCTTTGGTGGAGTCGGCCCTTCCGGTCCTGCCCACCTGACCTTCACCGCCCTCCCTGTGTCAGTGGGTCTGCCTCCCAGGGGAAATGCCGGTTCTGAACGACGTCTTCACATGTTCTCCCTTTTTTCCTGTGTTTCAGTGAAAAGCAGGAAGAAAACTCCTCAGCACCCGAGCAGAAGAGAAATGGTAATGGCCTCTGTGGGGTGCCAGGGGTAGGGGACTCCGGAGCTGGTTGGGGCGTGGGAGCAGGGAAGACAGGGCCCCGCCCGTCCAGGGCCCTGCGCCATCTGACCGGCCCTGTTGCCCTGCAGCTCTCTTTCTCGTCCTGGGTCCGGGACCATGCCCTTCTGACGGGTGACTTGAGTTGGGAGTAGCCCCCGTCACTGTGGCCGTGTTGCCCGGCCACTGTGGCACAGGCACCCAGACATCTGCATGATGAGCGATTCTGAAAGAGCCGTTTTCTCGCAACACGCTTCCCTGCCCAGCCGACTGGGTGGGTGTGCCACTCGTGCTCATGTCTGCGTCCCGGGAGGGACAGTTTGCAGAGTCTCAGCATCTGTGAGGCTCGGAGGCTCTGCCGAAGAGCAGACCCACCCGTTGCTTAGGAGAGGAGAGACTAGCCCGCATCTCTGGCACGTCCGCGTTTGTCTGAGGAAGGCCACAAAGGCCATGCGGCGGCTGTGGGTGAGGTTCCCTCTCAGCTGTGAACAGGGACAGGAACAGAAACATCAAAAGTGCGCGGCACCCTGCGCAGTGAAGAGCGGTCGGTCTCCCATCCTGACCGCCTGCCTCTGTCCTGTCCAGGGGAGACGTGCCTGGAGAGGAAGCGGGGAGGAGGCCTCTCGGGGTCCGCGCGTGAACCTCTGTTTCCTCCCCAGGGTCCCGAGGGCCCGGCCAAGGCACCTGGTGGCTCCTGTGCCAGACGGAGGAGGAGTGGAGACAGGTCACGGAGAGCTTTCGGGAGAGGACCTCCCTCCGGGAGCGGCAGCTCTACAAGCTCCTCAGCGAGGATTTCCTGCCCGAGATCTGCAGCATGATCGCCCAGAAGGTGTGCCGGCCGGCCCAGCCCCTGCGCTGGGGCGGCTCCAGGTTGCTTCTCAGGCCACACGCGGGCCTTCCCCGCGGGCCGAGGGTTTCACCCTCCTCGTCCAAGTGTCCTTGGCCTGCCGCCGACTTCCCCTCCCGTAGTGGCCCCTGCAGACGTCGCCGAGCCCCCGGCTTGCTGTCCTGCCCCCAGTGCACAACTCCGTGTCTGCTTTCCTCCCGTCAGCGCCTTCCTGTGTCCCTTTCCCGCTGGGCAGCAATTGCTGATGGGACGTGCGTCCTTGTGCCTGCAGCAGTGCCAGCCCCCTCCCTTGCCACCTCCTCCAGGGCACGTGTCAGACCCCCCCCCCCCCCCGGGTTTCGGGGACACTGGCTGACTCCCAACTTCTAACGTCTCCCCCCCCTGCTCCCCTCCCTGTGTGGACACTGGTCTCTCCGAAAGCCCACGTCAGAGTCACCCCCAATGCGCTGTCCTGCCACCCCCTCACGTGTTGACCCCCTTTCGCTGGGGCCTGTGGCAGCTGTGACTTCGAGAACCGTGTCTGGGTCGCCGTTCTGACCCACGACACCTGGCGCTGACCTTCCCCTGGGCGGGTGCTCAGGAGCAGGGGGCCTGCCCGCGGGATGCCCTGCTGTGCCCTCTGCTGCGCCTGCTCTCCAGCCACTGTTGACACTCAGGCGGCTGAGGGTTCGTGGAAGTGTGCACCCTAGGGGGCAGCGGGTCACTCCAGACCCTGTCCCCGGCCGGCCTGTGGCGGTCTGACAGCGTTCCACTGCCTGGCTCAGCTTGTGTCTCTTGCGTTGAAATGATGATGTGATAGACCACACAGAGGTTTTGTCGTTTGGCATGTTCTATCTTAAGTCCTGAAAAGGGAAAAGCTAATTTAAACTTTTATTTTCTTCTGTATATTTGGATTTACTCTTTACCTCTTCTTTCCCCGGGCTCAGAGGTGTGTTCTTGCTGGGAGCTAAATGGCCCAGCGTTGCTTTAGCTTTGAACCAGCAGTTCTGGGACGGGCCTGCTCCTGATCTCTGGCCGCCTTCTCCCTAGTGGCCAGCAGCCCCTAGCCGGCGCCTGGCCCTCTGACCCTGTGCCGGGCCCTCTCTCATCTCCAGCAGCCTGGGAGGTGCCTCCTTGGAAGAAGGCCTGCTCCCCCGCTTTCTGGTCACTGTTCCGGTCTGAGTCCGGCTGTGTGTGTCCGCACTGCAGAACGAGCGCCCCCTCACTCCAGCAAGAGAAAATGTCCTTTCTTCTCAGCAGTGGGCCCTTCTGTCTATTGATGTTGCTCTTTAGTTTTAGATGCAAGTAACTGTGGTGTGGGAGTGATTCCGATGTCTGTTGCGGCACCGTATGGCCTGGAGATGACCTGCACCGTGGCCTGGGCTTTGTGCCTGTGCAGACTCTGCAGGACCCTGGGCCTGCGTCGATCCCCTGGGCACCCGGCCTCATTGCCTCAGGGGGTCCTCCAGTTTTGACTACTGGGGAGAACACTGGCCCCCAGGACCAGTGCTGTGGGTGGTTCTGTGGGGAGCGCTCTGCTGGCCGGGCTCAAGCAGCTGTGAGGTGGGGAAGGTCTGGCAGGGGGCCCCAGGGTCCAATGCCCTGCCCTTGGGTGGGGGAATTTGGAGGGGAGTCCTGGGCCAGCCTCACCCTCTGGCACCCCTGTGATTTGGATGTTGGAACGTTTGAAGTTGCCCCAGAGGTTCCTAAGCCTCTCCTATTTTTGAATTCTTGTTTTTTCACTCTGTTCTGGTTGAATGTTTATTTCTCCCCTCTGGTCCACACCGTCGACTTAAGTCCCTGTTTCCTTCCCTTCACTGTTGGCTCCCTGTACATTTCCACTGTGCACAGCCTGCATCTCTCCTCTATTTTGCGATCACACCCAACCAGTTCTGTGAGCATCCTCATTCCCAGTGTTTTGAACTGTGCATCTGATAGGTTGGCTGTCTCTTCATCTCTTAGTTCTGTGTTTGGACTTTTGTTCTTTCATTTGGGCCCTATTTCCTTGTCTCTACTCACCTGTTACATAGTAGGGGCAGAGCCTTCTGTATTCGCCAGGAGGGTTCAGCCACCCTCTGTGTTGCACACTGCATTTTTGTCCAGTTGTCCACTGATGGACACTTGGGTTGCTTCCAGAACTTGGCTATTGTAAGTAATGCTGCAGTGAACATAGGGATGCATACGTCTTTGAATTTGTGTTTTAAATTTCTTAGGCTAAATTCCCAGAAGTGGGATTGCTGGGTCATAGGCACTTTCATTTTTAATTTTTCAAGAAATCTCCACACTGCTCTCCACAGTGGCTTCCCCAGTTTGCGTGTTCTCGCCAGCACTTGTCAGTTCACTGTTGATGGTCGTTCTGGCAGGTGTACGGCAGTGTCTCACTGGTTTAATTTCTCTGATGATTAGTGATGTTGAGCACCTTTTCCTGCATCGGTTGGTCGTTTGTGTGTCTCTGGCAAAATGTCTCTTCTATCTGCCCATTTTTAAAAAATATTTCATTCATTCGTTCATTCATTTATTTATTTATTTTTAGAGATGGGAAGAGAGGGGGGAAAAAGGAGAGAAACATCAATGTGTGGTTGCCTCTCACATGCCCCCGCACTGGGGACCTGGCCTGCAGCCCAGGCACACGTGCCTTGATTGGGAATCAAACCAGTGACTCTTTGATTCGCAGGCTAGCACTCAATCCACTGAGCCACACCAGCCAGGGCCATCTGCCCATTTTTCATTTGAATTTTTCTACTATCGAGTTGTGTAAATTTAGTTTTTTAACATGCTAGAAATTCAGTTTTTACCGTTTACATGTTTAACACGAACATCAGTGTATTTGAATCTAAGTAGACGTACCACGTATGGTTCTGTGCGTGTGAGCTGTCTGGAGTGAGTGGGCCCACGGAGGCGGAGTGTGCTGGGGGCTCGCGGGGCCGGCCGTGCAGGAGGGCGTGGTGGTGCGGGGCACAGGCTTCCCCGGGGTGCTGACCGTGTTCTGCAGCTTAACATAGGTGGTGGCTGTGTAACATCGTGCGTGTATGTAATGCCACTGAATTGTGCACTTTCATTTTTTAAGATTTTTAAAAATTTATTTCTCTTTAGAGGGGAAGGGAAGGAGAGAGGGAGAAAAATATCAATGTATGGTTGCCTCTCGTGCATCCCCTGCTGGGAACTGGCCTGCAACCCAGGCATGTGCCCTGACTGGGAATCGAACCTCAATCCTTTGGTTCGCAGGCCCGGGCTCAATCCACTGAGCTAACCAGCCAGGGCTGAATTGTACACTTTTAAATCACCGATTTTATGTGAATTTCACTTGGGTAAAACTGTGAGAGTAATTTTTACCTATTTATTCACATGATGGAGAGTGTCTGATTCACAGTATGCATTTATATCTGTAAGTTTCTAAGTTTTAAAATTCGTGATTGATTGTTACCAAAATACCTTCAACTGTTTATAGTTGATTAGTAATATTTTCCTTAAAAATCTATAAGTCGTAACCTTTTGATACTTTGACATACTTAATTTTACACTTTTAACAGGGTTCACATACTGCAGGAGGTAAAAATTTAATGAAAATCAGGCCATTTTGGAACTTGTAGTATCTGTCGGGGAAGCTCTGCGTCCGAAAGAGCCTCGTGAGCCCACGTGCGGAGGAGTCGTCACTGCGCACACATGTGTGCTTCCGGGCCTTTCTCTGTGCACATGTCACACTGAACCCCCCACCCCCCGTGCCCTGTGTGTTTCGGTGACTAGTGTGCAGCAGCGAAGCTGCTCTTGGTTGCACGTCGACGGCTGTGCTTCCAGCTGTAAGTCGACCCGGAAACTGTGCTGCCTGCCCCTCCGTGTGAGCGCGACCCCCCCCCCCCCCGTGTGGACGAGCCCTGTGGACGGTTGTGCTCATCCCAGCACAGCTTTGCCAGTGCGTCGCTTTTGTCGTGTTGAGAGTTCTGTGAGCGAAGGGGCTGTTGTCCTGGGCCCTTCCGTTTGGTCGTCGACGCGGTGTGTCTTCCGTGAATTTTGTATTTGTGCTCTGTTTGTTTTAGAGGTGGCTTAGAATAATAAATCACCATATTTGTTATAAAAAGACTTATGCAGATATTTGAAAGACTTATGTAGTTAACTATTCCCCCCCTTTTTTCCCCTTCTATTGACTTCCTGTGAAATGTTTCCGTGTTTTCCAGGTAACTTGGTGATTTTTTTTTTTTTTTTAATCCTTACCTGAGGACACACCTGTTGGTTTGTGAGGGGCTGGAAGGGAGAGGGAGACACACGACTGGTTGCCTCTCATACACGCCCTGCCTGGGGATCAAACCCACAACCTAGAAATGTGCCTGAGCAGGAATCGAACCCACAAGACAACCCTCCAACCAACCTGACGACCCTCCAACCAACCCAAGCCACACTGGCTAGGGCCTGACTTAATGTTTCTATTCATGAGTCATTGGCTTGCATTTGTTTAGTCCTTAGAACTCTGAACCGATTTACTGTCCTCTTCTACTTCCGCCCTTTGTCACATGCCAGCAGAATCATCACACGTAAACATGTGCCTTCTTTTCTTTTCATCATGTCTGGTGCATAGAAAGTGCTCCAGTTTACAGTGTCCCTTGAACGAAGGGACTCCTTTGACAAGGCTTTGTGTTCCTCTGTCCCCCCCTCTGGTGAATCGATACACTCAAGAAGGGCCTGTGCAGCTGAAGAAGGGAGCTGTAGCAGTCCTTTTGGTTTGTTCCCTTGGAGCTACTGCCCGAAGGGGACGAGTGTGTGGGGGCTTCCACGGAGCTGGTGGGGGCAGGGAGGGGCCTTCCTCGGGGAGCCGCCTTTGCTCAGGGCCGCAGCATCCTGGATCGGACGCTGCGCCGACCATGCGCGACTCCCTGCTCCAGTTGTGAGGTGATGACTGTCGGACTCCTCTGTGGTCTGTGGAGGCTGTGAGTGCCATGTTCTGTGTGCAATATTATGGTTGATATTTTTATTCTTTCTTATTTCTCCACTCTTAGCTAAACTGGTTTTAAGGACTGTAAAGAAAATAACGTAGATTTAATAAACAGCTTTGGTGTTGAGGGATGACGTGAACGGCACCACATTCTCCCCACAGTAGGACCCCTTGTGTGGGGTCCCCAGGATGAAACTGAGAGATTTACCTGCATGATGACAGGTCCTTAAGGCTTCTTCCTGGGGTCGTCTTCCAGGGGTTGATGACCGGCCCTTGAGGAAAAGCTTCACATTTCTGATTAAGTTTCATCCAAACATGTTTTCTTCTGCAGATGATAGTTACTGCTTTTTCCATAACAGTTCTAAAAAGTAAGAAGTTCTAGCTTTTACATCAGCTCAAAAGACAATGGCAGAAATTGAAAACAAGTGATTTCAGTGCTGGCTTCAGTGTTCTGGGTCACAGAACAGCTCCAGTTAGTTATTCCGGAAACATGCAGAGTAAAACTTTAGTGAATTATGGTAACGGTCCTCTTTTATTAGAGCTCTTAGGCAGATTCCCAGGGTATTCGGGCAAAATGGTGGTCCTCCCACCAAAGCCCCAGTTTTATTCATTGTTTTATTAGTGAGATATAAAAGTTAAGGGTTTCAGTGGAGAAGCCAAAGAACTTACATGCACCGCCCCCGGACACGGACTAAGGCGGGGCATGCTGGTGGGGGGTCGGGTGCAGGGTGGCGGGGAGTAAGGTGAAAGTGAGACAACCGTAAGAGCACAAGCAACGAAACGTATTTTTAACCAAGTTCAGGGTCCATAGTGGTGAGCCTGTGTCTGGCGACCTCAGATGCGGGTGCTCTGTAAGATTCCCCTTGGACCCACGTGAGGTCCAGAAACCTGGTCTCCGACCTGCCTCGCTTGCTTCTCCGGCCATCGCGTCCCCCACAGGCTATCTCCCTGTGAGGGACGACAAGCGGTGGCAGCCATCGGCCCGCACTTGGGCCCCTCTTCCAGTCTCCATTGTGTTTTATTGTCATTGTGTTTGTGTGTGTGCCCGTGTGTATTCTTCGGGTGGTGAAATGGATTTGTGGTCATGCTCTCAACTCCCAGCTGTCCAGTACTACTTACTGCATAGACCGGGTTCGGAAAGCACAGCGCCCAGCTCGGAGTGAGGAGCTGAGCGTATCCCCCTGGCCCCTCCCAGGAGACACCGTTGCTGGCTCGGATGGAGAAGCGGAAGCGCCGGGAGGAGGAGGAGGAGGAGCGCCAGGTCCTGCTCGCAGTGCAGAGGAAGGAGCAGGAGCAGCTGTTGCGGGAGGAGAAGAAACGGGAGCTGGAGGAGAAGGTCAAGGCAGTGGAAGGTGCGCAGGCGTCGGCGTGGCCGTGGGCAGGCGCGTGGCGTGGGCAGGTGCCCCTGCAGCTGGAGCCCTGTGCCCGGGTCGGTCTGTGGGCTGGGGCGTTTGGAGCCGGCTCTGGCCGTGTGCTGGCCGGTCCCAGCGCGGTCCTGAGTTGTAAGGTGTCTTCCGTGCTGTTGATTTGTCGGCATCGAGCCTCATTGCCGTGGCTCCTGGGCCATGCTGGGTATTGGACACACATGCCTTCCTCTCCATCTCTCGTTTAGCCTCACCTTTGCAATGTCCTCTGTGTGGAATAGAAAAAAATAAAGTGTTTGACAACTGAATTCACAGGAGTTATTTTAAGCACCAGTGAAGTCAAACCTGTTTGATTAGATCTCTACACAGAACTACCAGGTTTACAGGGAACCCCAAGAGTGGAGGGGTCCTGGGGGAGGCCCTCAGCTTAATGCCCATCGATCGCGCGGGCAGTTTGACCACAGTTGAGGGAGGTACCTGCCATGTGCAGTGGACGCACTTATTTGGGTGATTTGTGCAAACCCAACTTCTTAAGAAGTTATAGAACATGTGGGAAATGTTGGCTCTGACTCAATATTTAATAATAAAAAAACATTTTATAGTCTTAAAATTTACACAGAGAAGCAGGGGGCTAAGATAATTTCCAAAACCACGTGGTGGGAACCCTCCTCCTACCAGGTAACAAGAGCTGTAGTGACTGAGACTCTGGCACAGGCCTGGGCGGTGAGTGCAGTGAGGCGGGGTCCCCAGTGAGTGGCACTGGGGCAGCTGCTTACTGATATGGGGGGGGAACTCATATCTTGATTCTCCTACAAGAATAATTTCCAGATAGACACAAAGGACAAAACCGTTCTGAAGAAAATATAGGTAAGTATCATTAAGTATTGAATAAAAAGGGATTTCTTAAGTATAAAGAATTCAAACTATAAAGGAAGAGAGAATGATAGATTTTACTATATTAATTGTTTAAAATTTAGATATGGTAGAAATACCAAAAGCAAAGTGAAAGACAAATCATGGAGCAGGAAAAGATGATTTCACATACAATAAACACACTTCTCCAAATCAGTAAGAAATCCAAACCCCACAGGGAGAAAAGGACAAAGTTTATGAGCAGGAAATTAAGCAGGGGATTAATAAACCCGAAGTGTGTTCATTGTCATGCCAATCAAAAGTGAAAAATGAAACTATTCAAATGCCATGTCACCCCCTTCAGTTTGGCAAAATGCTGACTGTTACCTGACCAAGTGGTGATCAAGGTCAACAATGGGAGCCTCGGCTGCGTCCCCTTGGCACTGGTGTGGTGAAGGGAACACGCTCCTGTCTGACAGTTCCATGCAGGTTCTGTTTCCTGGAGGGCTTCCATGCAAACAGCAAGAAGTCTTGTGGAAAGCGCAGTTGTTACAATGTTACAAAGTGCAACGAATTGCAGCCAGCTGGAAAAGGGGTTAGGAATCTGAGAAGCACTGTGTTAAAGTCTGGGTGGAAATGGTGAGCTTTGACAGCTTGCTTGGTAGACACAGGGATATCCGTTAATGTAGTTAGACTTCTCTGCAAACTTGAAGTAGTTTACTCTTTTAAAAAATAAACAATTTTTAGAGGTTGTTGATAGGAAAGTGTCTTTGATGAACTGGAGCAGAATCTCTGAGTCCATCCATGGAAATAATGTAGCAATGGAGAGACTATTGCAGACGTGTCAGCTCAAACACGTGGGCAGGAAAACGAGGCCTGTCCTGGCCTCTCCTTCCGCCTTTGCCCTCATCACGACCTCCTGGAAGGGCCAGGTGTCTTTCTGAGCCAGGAAAGGGCCATTGCTGCTGCCCTGGTGGGGACTGCTGCCGGGTGCAGTAGACAGGAGGGGGCAGGGGCGTGGATGTGCGCGGTGCCGTTGTGATTGCAAAGACTTGAGAGCTGGGAGGCACATAGGCAAGTCTGCATGGTTTGGTTTGAGAGCCTGGTCCTGAGGCTGCACATCACCTTTCCGGGAGGAGGAAGGGGTTCCAGTAGTGGGAAAGATGATTCTTACTCAGCCTTCCTGGTTTTTTTTTCTCCTTGTAATTTTGTTGTTCTTCAGCTTTGCTCTTTGCCCTCCCTCCTCCAGGGCTTGCCTGCCCTCTTCCCTCAGCCTGAGCTCAGGGTGACCAGGGGGAACACTTGTTTCTGGTTTTCATAAAGCACCCCGTCCACAGCATCGCCCCATTACTGTGGGGGGGCACAGGTGATGTCACGACGCAGCTCTGTGGCCTCGTCTTCCCCCTCCTCTCAGGTGGTGAGGACCGGTCACCTAGGCCTGGTTCTGCGAGAGGACGTGACTCATTTGTGCCTCGCTGCCTTGTGTCCATGCAGACCGGGCGAAGCGGCGGAGGCTCAGGGAAGAGCGGGCGTGGCTGCTGGCCCAGGGGAAGGAGCTGCCCCGAGAGCTGTCCCACCTGGACCCCAGCTCCCCCACGAGGGACGAGAAGAGGACGAAGGACCTGTGAGTACTTTGAGCACGGGCAGCAGCCCGGTGACCTCAGCCCAGGCCTTGTGTCAATAGGCACTGACCTCAGTGCACCCGTAAAGCACTCCTGTGGTGGGTGCTGTTCGGTGCTCATGCGCCGCACCTCTGTGCTGCTGTCTCTGATCACTGTGCACCACGAACACTCGGGTGCTTGAGAGGCCTGGGGAAGGCATAACTGTTAGATGCCCGGCACAGGGCCCTGAGAGCTTCTGCAGCATGTCAGCCTCTGCATTTTTGGGGGGGGGGGGGGGCGGGGCACAGTGGTCACTGCCATGCTGATTTCTTACCTCCTGGCCCCGCAGCTTTGAGCTGGATGATGACGTCACCGCCATGTACAAAGGTCAGTTCCGTCCCCGCTGTGGGTTTCCAGCAGTGCCCTCTGCCGGTGCTGAGTGCTCTCCTCTGGCTCTCAGTCTTAGATGTGGTCAAGGCGCACAAGGACTCCTGGCCCTTCCTGGAGCCTGTGGACGAGTCGTATGCCCCAAACTACTACCAGATTATCAAGGTAGCCAGCCTTCCACGGTCACCCCTCTCGGGACGTGTGTTTCGCCCTGGCTCCCTGAGTCGTGTGTGGTGGGTGTGGCCTCACCCCTGTCCTGGAGAACCGGGCTGCTGGAGGCTCCAGGCCCGTGCGTGGCTCAGAGCAGCAGGGTCCCTGTGCTTCGTGCACATTAGGATGTGCTTCTCCACCTTCCTGTGACCCAGTGTGTCTCGTTTCAGGTCCCCATGGACATTTCAAGCATGGAGAAGAAACTAAATGGGGGCTTATACTGTACCAAGGAGGAGTTTGTGAGTGACATGAAGATCATGTTTAGGAACTGTCGGAAGTACAACGGGGAGAGCAGTGGTGAGTTGGGCAGCGTCGGCTCATGGGGCACCTGGGCTCGGGCTGCACCGCTGTAGCTGAGTGAGACGCCTTTGCTCTGAGAAGCGTGCGTTTCAGGGACCCGGCCTGCCTTCAGGACTGGAAGGAGGATGTGCACAAAACCCCTGGCCATGGGCCATACCGGCTGTGCACTGTGTCGGGGGCTCCCTCCTGCCGGGGAGAAGCAGCAGGGGGGGCTTCGGGCACAGCCGTTCCGTCGCCTGCAGGGAGTGGGGGCCGTTGGTGTGTGACAGTGACCGCTGACAGCACGGACGCAGCGCGGAGCTGCTCGTCGGTCACCTGAGAACCGCTGCCATCAACTGACACAGTGTGCGAGGCTCCCGGGCGCGGAGACTCGGAGTCTTGCACGCTGAGTCTTACAGTCTCAGTGTGCTGTAGTTTAAAACCTAAGCAGGCGCCGAGGTTACAGTCAATACTCCACAGTTCTACCCTGAGCCAGTAAAAACTTAGTTACGTTCCAGCCACGCTGCCCAGAAGCCCTTGGGACGGAAACTCCGAGTTGCCCCGGTCCCGCCTGGTGTGTGTGGGGGGAGCCCCTGTCCCGCAGGAGCCGCTTCCCGAGCCCCGCGCCGCCTCCCCCTGCAGAGTACACCAAGATGTCGGACAACTTGGAGAGGTGCTTCCACCGAGCGATGACAAAGCATTTTCCTGGCGAGGATGGGGACACGGACGAGGAGTTTTGGGTCAGAGAGGACGAGAGGCGGGAGAAGAGACGGAGCCGGGCGGGGCGAGGTGGCGGCAGCCAGGTGTGCACCCGCTCCCGCGACCCCGAGGGCCCCAGCAGGAAGCAGGTGCCTGCGGAGAACGGAGGGAAGGCACTGCCGCCCTCCCGCCGAGCCCCCTCCTCCTCCGGAGATGGTCCCGGCAGCAGCTCTACACAGGCTTCCCGGGACACAGGGGCTGCCGGCGGCCGGGGCCTCGCTCGCCCCCTGCACTGCAGTGGGACGCCCAGCCCGGCACCTCTGCTGAACCAGATGGTAAGGACGGTGGGCCTCTGCCGTGCTGTGCTGGGGGGCGAGGTCGCAGGACCAGAGAGCCTGCTCAGGAGGCTCCCGTGCAGATTTCTTTCTCCCTCATTGGTCCATCCGTCCTTCTGCCTTCATGCTAATCTGCCTCAGTGTGGAGAAGCACTGGGACCAGACACCTCGAGTTGGGTGTAGAGGCTGGAGGTCCACACAGATGCAGCTGCGGTGGCAGTGGCATCTCCCGGTGGGGGCAGAGGTGACTGGGAACTGCAGCTTGTCTGCCCTGTGTGGGACATGATTCGGGTCCGGGAGCTGCTCTTGTCCATGGGGAGCCCGGCCTCTGTGTTGGCTCTGAGTGACTAGGTTGTGTCCGCTCCTGAGCCCGTGCCTTTTCCTTCCCGCCCTCCTTCCCCTCACGCGACACTTCGTAGAGGCCTGCAGTGCCCGGAACGTTTGGCCCTCTTCGGGGGTCGGACCCCGCCAGCCTGTTCGTCCCCTCCAGAGTCCCAGAGCCGCACCCTGGGGAGCCTGTGCAGCAGCGGCAGTCGTTTGCCATGCAGGTGAGCAGCCCACTGGAGCCGGCCCAGTGGCCCTCAGACTCACGCCCTTCCCGGGTGGGGTGCCGTTGCTGCCTCCCGTGCTGTGGGCTCTGTAGCTGAAGAGGAGGCACCTTATGCGACAGGCCTGCTGAGCACTGCTGTCCTCTCTGTTCTCGTTGCCAGCCTCCAGTCGGGATGAACAAACACCGAGGGCCCAGGCTGGGCACGCCCGAGGAGAAGCCCGTGTGCGGGGGGCTGGCCCACCTCTCCCACGGGGCATCGCACGCTGGGCCCTTGCCCCTGGGGCACGTGGGGGGCCCCGGTCGGGATGGAAGTGTGTGCTCCCCAGCTCGGTTCCAGCCCGGGTTGATGGCTCCTGGGCACGGAGGGGTTCCGGCTCGGCCCCTGGATTTTCCTGAAAGCCCAGAAATTTCTCCCAGCCACATGTACCGGTCCTACAAATACCTGAGTCATGCTCACCCTGCCGTCTGGAACGGGAACCACGGTGCTGTGAACCCTGGACCTGCGGGGCCCGATGATAAGGCTCTTCTGGAGCCCAGCCTCTCACACCAGCCACGCAGCCTGGGCCACACGGTGGACTCCCGGGGGCTGAGGCCACCACTTCCTCCCAGCCAGTGGGCTGAGCGCCCCAGCTTTCTACCTCATGGCATTCCTCCTTCAGGGTACATGCGGCCCCCCTGCAGACCTGCTGGGCACCGGTTGCAGCCACCACCGCTGGCACCAGGCCCCTTGTTCGGCCCCCCGTCCCAGGCTCTGCGTGGGGTGCAGGGCGGGGACTCCATGATGCAGAGCCCCGAGATGCTGGCCATGCAGCAGCTGTCTTCCCGCGTCTGCCCGCCAGGCGCGCCTCACCCCCGACCGACCGTGCCGCCCCCCGTGCCTGGCTCGTTCCCTCAGGGGGCCCACGCCGTGCCAGTTGGCATGGCAGCCCCCAGGCCTGCCTTGGGGGACCCCGGGAGGACACAGGATAACAGTGAGACGCAGGAGCCCGAACACGACCCAGGTAACGGACACCTTTGTCCGACTCCCGGCCCTGCGAGCTGTTGATGCGTGAATGATCTTTCTACACGGCGTTAAGCCAAATGGAGATTGGTCTCCAGCCCCCTCTTCCTGAACTGCTCAGGGTTTAGCCAGCCCTGGTATGGATGGCTTCTGACCCAAACACCCGAGAGGGTCCCTGGCACTGGCCCCCACACAGCCACAACACTGACCACTGCCGTCTTGGCCCTGTCCGTGTAGACGGCGGCTCTGAGGCCAGAGCTGGGGGCACCGGCTGTGAGTGGTGGTGCTGAGCTGCTTCCGCATGTCCAGCCCCCGAGCCCCGTCCTCGGCACCTTGCCAGAAGTCCAGTTGTTTCTGTCCTTCCTCCTGGGCCGCATGTTTTCCTGGCCTGAGAGGGAAAGGGTGGTCAGGTGTAGGGAAGCCCGGGGGGTCCTCAGAGGCCCCTTAGGAGAGGTGCCCTGTGTAGTCGGGGCTCCCTCTGGGGCGGCGTCCCTGTGTGTCACAAGGGAGGGAGGTTTCATGTCACGTTGGTGGCGGGCCTGGGACTCAGGCTGACTATGCAGTAAGGAGAGTCCCCATCTGGGACCGGTGGCTCTGGCGGAGCCCTCTGACACTGGGTCACACGTGTCTGTGGCTCCTTGGGAAAGGCTGTCGTCCCCTGTTGTGTGACGGCCACACAGTGTGAGGTGCAGGTTGGGTTTTCATGGTGCAGCCTGCCCCTCCCCCCTTCATAGCCTGGGGTCCTAGGAGGCCTGCGGGAGGGTTTGTGCTCCCTTGACCTTGTCCTCGACGCCCAGTGCTGGCTGCTATCTGACCACGCTGGGGCCCCGTCTCTGTCCCCACCAGAAAGGCCCTGACAGTCCAGCCACATTGACAGGTTGGCGCCACAGGTAGAGGCTCCAAGGTTGCCGTTCAGCACTTGAGTCCAATACGTTAACCTCGTCTGGTTTGACACGTTTCTGTCATACGGTGGCAAGGACTCCTGAGGTTTATGCAGCAGGCGTCTTGTTTTGATGACGTTCACGTAGGGGGATGTTTTCATTCAGTGTTGATTCCCTGTTCTGTGCAAGGACTGAGGGTTTTGTGGGGAACAAAGCGAGGTCCCCGTTCTGTGGAGCGTGTGTTCTGATGGGCCACCCGCCGGGGACGGCCTTTCTGTGGGTGGAGTTTTAGAGCCTCCCAATGTGGGTGTCTCAGACCCCCCCCCCCCGTGTCTGTGCATCAGGGCCTCTGTGCTCACCTGGTGGGTGGTGTCATCTCAGCTGCTGAGCCGGCTTCGTTCTCTGCTTTCCTTGCAGCAGAGCCCTTGCCTGGGCTCGAGAAGCCCCGCAGTGTGGGTGTCTCAGACGGCACGTACCTCCAACAGCTACCTCGCTCTGCACCCGCCCGGCAGAGCTCGCCCCGGGACCGGGAGGCCGAGGGCCCTGAGCTCCCGGGTGACCCCGCAGCCTCTGAAGACAACTGCCGGGTGGCAAAGGGCAAGAGTGCCTGGGCCTCGGAGAGCAGCTACCCCGGCCCCACGGCGCAGGGGTGTGTGCGGGACCTGCCCAGGCTGGTGAGCCGAGGGGCTCTGCCCGAGAACGGGGTGCTGGCTGAAGGGCCCACGTGTGGCTCAGAGAAGAAGGGCCTTGGTGGCTGTGGTTCGGAAAAGCCCCTCTGCCCCAGGGGCAAAACGCTGCAGGACACTGTGCCATGTGCCGGGCCAAGTCCGGCTACCCCGCCCAACGCAGAGCCCGGTGTGGTGGGAAGCACCGTGGGCCAGTTTCCTGCCTTGTACCTGCCTGGCCTGGAGTACCCCGGCTCGACTCCTCACTACCATGGCAGCGCGGGCCTGCAGGGCCTGGGCCCTGCGCTGGGAGCCAAGCCCTCGGGGCCCCAGCCTTCACATTTCCCGCCCCGGGCCTTTCACCCCAACAGCCCTCACTCTGGGGTCTTCCCTCGGTATCGCCCCCACCAAGGCATGAGGTATCCTTACCAGCCGCCGCCTCAGCCTTCCTACCATCACTACCAGCGAACTCCTTACTATACCTGCCCACAGGGCTTCTCCGACTGGCAGAGACAGCTGCACGCCCCTGAGAGCCCCGGCGGGCTGCCCCCCAGCCAGCCACCCCCTCCGAGGCCGCTTTTCTCAGACAAGAGCACCATGGTCAGCCTGCAGGGCTGTGAGACATTGAACACTGCCTTAATGTCCCCCGCCCGCATGGATGCACTGGCCACCAAGGCCATCACCACCGATGGGCAGGACCCTGGCCCAGAGGAGGGAAAGCAGGACGAGCCTCTGGAGAGGCCGGAGAGTCCCAAAGAGTTCCTGGACCTGGACAACCACAACGCCGCCGCCAAGCAGCAGGGCTTGGCGCTGTCAGCCGGCGAGTATCTCTATGGACCCCCGGCTCTGAGCTCCGGGATGGGGTTTGCGTCCGCCGCTTTCCCGCCACATGGGGCAGTGCTGCAGGCCAGGCCTTCCTATGCAGCTCCGCGGCCACCCGGCCACTGCCAGCCCCGGGCCTACGCCGCCGCCGCAGCCTCCCAGCCCAACGGCCTGCCTCCGGAGGGCCCCATCTACCGCTGCCCGGAGGACGGCCTGGGCCGCTTCCAGGCCGTGATGATGGAGCAGGCAGGTGCCGCGGGGGCAGCAAGGGGGCCCTTCCAGGACGTGTACAGACCCTCAGGGTAAGCGTATTTAATTTGTTTTCTTCCCCCCAAAAGAGCAGGTGTTAGTGTTGGGAAGGCAGGGGAACTGGCGCGGCTTCTGTGTTGGAGGCGGAGGCTTTGTGGGGCTGTGTTAGCCTCGAAGCTTGATTTTTATCTTCGGCACATTCCCCTCGTGGAAGTGAACGTTCTTGGACGTAGGAGACGGGAGGCCCAGTGTGGGCAGTGCAGCCAGGCCTCGCCTCTGTCCCTGGGTTTGCACCTCCGCCCGAGGAGGCACCGATCACTCTCCGGACGTCCTCTTCGGGCTTTGTTCCTCGCGTCCGTGGAGGTCGGGTCGGGATGCCTGATCAGGACGTCGACTCTGACCTCCTCGACACCCGCCCGGCCCCAGCCCCGTCCCCTAGCCGCAGTTTGTCCTGTCTTCGCCTTCTCTGAATCTGTTTCATTTTTTTCTGTCTCTTTTGCTCCCTAAACTGTTGGAAGGTACACTGTAGACCTAGTGGTTCTTTATCCCTAACCACTCAAGCACATATCTCCCTGGGATGACTGCAGCCTCAAACCACACGTGTCGCTTGTGGAAAGCGATCGGGTGCGGGGTCTTGGCTTTTCCCATTGTTCCTAAAATGCCTTTGTAGTCGTGTGGCTGTTTTGATTTATTTTTCATTCAAGAGCCAGTTAGGGTTCATGCATTTACATTTTATTGTTAAGTCTGTTCGCTCTCACGATTTAGCACATTCGCCCATCGTTGCACTGTCTTCTTTTCCGTGGGGCGTCCCGAATGCTGTGTCCCTGTGTTTAGGGTCACGTTGAACATGGAACGGGGGCCGTGTGCTCACTGTGTCCACCTCGAGGCTCGTGATGCCTGTGTTGTCCCAGGACTGGTGGTTTTCAGGTTAATCACCTGGGTGACAGAGGCAGATTCTGCCTGAGGTCTTTGTGGCTCAAGAAGCTTCTTCCTTCAGTTCTTACCTGTTCCTTTCTTGTGGCCGCAGCGTGCAGGTGCATCCCATCCATCCGCCACCCTCTTTCCCAAAGACCCCGGCCCCAGGAGCGCTGCAGGAAGAGCTGCCGTCCCACAAGGCCCCGACACTCCCCCTCGATCAGGTAGGATGGCTGGAGCCCTGCGCCCTGCCCTGCAGGTGGGAGAGGGAGCTCGTGGGCCCAGTGCAGCTGGGAATCTGCTGCACTGTGGGTTTTCAGCTGTGTGGTGGGCCGGCGCCCCCAACCCCACGCTTCTCACTTGAAGTCATTGTGTTCTGAGGGGACGGGGCTTTCCAAGAAGGGTGTCCTGTCCTGCAGGCCCCAGGGCAACAGTGGCCCAGGGCCCAGCTGCAGGGGCTCCTCGGTGGGGCTCCTCCGAGTTACCACCTGTGCCTCCTCAGGTTCTCCAGTGACCAGCTGTTGGGACGTCTGAAGTTCGTTTTCCCAAACTGGCTGCCATCATTTTTCTGATGCAGGCTCTTGCCTATGTCATCCTCATTTGTTGGGTTTTTGAGGGACTAGGTTGTGGGGTTTGTAAGTCACAGTTGCTGCCTTTGAGTGTCACTCTGCCTGGCACTCTGCTGAGGGCCTCTGTGTGCGGCTTGTTCCCCCAGTCTCCCCACAGTCAAGGTCGGAGGCCAGCGCAGCGTCCTGCTGTGTGTGCAGGGAGTCCTGCTGGGATAAAACCCGGCCATTTTCCAGATTGGAGGACCACTCTTCGGCATATTTAGTTTTTTTTAGCAATGAACACAAATGTGAATGTTGTTTAAATCATCCCCGTTTTGCTTTTCCCAGAGCTAGTCTGGGGAGGAAACAGCCCCAGGAGACAGAAGGCCGCATGAGAAGACTGGAATGTGGAGGATGGGGACGGAGGACGAGGGCCAGCCACACCTGTCCCTGCTCCCCGCCCCGCCCCACCCACAGCACAGCCCCGGGCGTTCCGGAGCCAGGGCCAAGCCACAGCCCGTGAAGCACACGCCGTGGACAAGTATCTGTGGCCGGCAGGGTCCTGGGCGGGTCTCCTGTGTGGCTGACGGTCAGGATCAAATGGACTGGAATTAGTGGAGGCTTTTCCAAGTCCTGAGACTGTTTCAGGAAAAGTTGTCCGAACTGGGAGGGGCTGTGTAGGAACGGAGGTGCTTGTAGACTCGTGAGCAGCTAAACTCAGGTACATGTTTGGGAAAGGAACTACTCGTAGTATTAAGGTTTGGAGCTGGGTCCAGTTTACAGAATTTTCATGTTGCCTTTTAAACTAATTTTTGTTGTTGGTGGTGAATGTATTGTACATAGTGGGGGGTGGGGATCTGAAGCATTGGGCATCCTGATGGGGGGGCACACAGCCCTGGGGGGGTCTTACCTGTTTACAATCATGTCACACTGAAGCCGGGGAGCTGAACAAGTGGCGGAAGGCTCCTTGACTGTGTCGCTGTTCTCCTCAGTGGCCAGCCGCCCTTGGACAGGTGTGGTCTTCTTTGCGGTCCACCCAGGAAAGTGCTCCCGCTGCCCCAGCTGCTGCGTGTCTCGGTCAGGAGGCAGCGCGCCCTCACGGCCTCCTGGAAGTTTGTGCCTGGGTGGTAGGCTGTGCCCCAGGCTTGTAGCCCGCAGCCAGAGCCCTCCTGGTTGCCAGCCGTCAAGCGGAGAGCTGGGAGCCCAGGCTGGAAGGGGGCCTGGGGGTGTCTCCTCGTTGGGGGAGCAGCCTCCTTGTGGGCCCTTGGGGCTGGTCCGGGGCGGCGCACGTGGCTTTCCAGCTTGAATCTCATTTGTGGAGGCGACTACTCAGGTCTATGTGTGTTAGAGTCAGTAAGGAAATTGCACAGTTCTGAATAGGAAAAGTGTGGTCTATAGGTTTACAATTTGAGTTTAGGAATATTCCATTGTATTTAGCCTTTATTCATTTTAAGTGAATCATAGTGAAATCAGTCACGGCAGTTGAAGTAGCGGTCGGGAGCAAGGTCTCGGGAGCCCTTTACGTGTGTGGTAGCGGACACCTCGACAGTATTACATCGTTACTTCATTACAGTTCCAGACGCCGGTCACCCTGCACTCTGCCTGCTTAGCTTCTGTGTTTGGTTTTAGCTGAGGTGCCACCAAAGCTGGGGCTTCTGTGATTGTCCCACAAAGGAAGGGAAGTGCCCAGAAGGCAGGTGTTTGGGAGGAAGAGCACGTTGCTAAGCCCTCCTCTGGGAAGGTGGTCCAGGGGCCTCAGTCCCCTCTGAGCTCCTCCATGTAGGGGCGGGGACCTTGCCTCTGAGGCCAGATGGGGACATGTCGTTTTCAGGTTTGCTGAACATACGCTCACCGTCCTTTGGGAAGGACACCAGTGGCAAGTGTTCAGGTTACGCTGGTGGCCCAGAGACCCTGCCGTGGCATCAGGGACATGCGTGCATGGGGGTCATTCTTGTTGACTCGCAGGTGGCTGTTCACGGGGCAGGGGTTTGAAACCTGTCACCGGCCCAACCTGGCTTACGGAAGGAGGGAATCAGCATTCTCTGTGTAGGGGAGAGGGGAGGTGGGCGGGTGTCTGGCAGCCCTCGGGCTGGGTGGTGTGGCCCAGGGCAGCCTCGCTGCTGCCGTGTTCCGTGTGCAGAAGCAGTGGGCAGTGAGGACCGGCCCATCGCTGCGGTGCAGTCCGACCTGGCCGGGCCGTGGCCTGGCTCGGAGCCTCCCGCCTTGGACAGCGGTTGCCTTCTCATGTCAGAGCTGGTCTGACAGAGGCCTCTGCTCCCCCAAACCAGGAGCACCCTGACCACAGAACCTCTTCCTCTGGGTGGATGCAGTGGGTCCCCTTGTGTGGGCCCCTGGGGTGGGGCAGCTGTGGACACACTACCGGGGGCAGCCATTTGCCCTCGCTCCCCCAGCCCCTGACCCCATTCCCCGTTTGAAGCTGTGAACCATATGGAAAAAGTCAGTGATTTCTTCTGTCCTGATCTCCCTTCTCGGTAGGTAGAGGGGTGAGAAGTAGTCACGGAGGAACAGGGTGGTTGAACTGCTGTGTCGTGTTCCAACACTGTGAGTGCGGGAGCCTCGTCAGCCTTACTGCCCCCTGTGGGCGTGGCTGCGTGACAGGCAGTCATTGGGCACGAGGACACCCTAGAAAGGTCCGTGCTCAGGCTGGGAAGGGCGAGTCTCTCGCCTGTTGTATTTCATGCTAATGGTTAACCTTTGTCACAGTTGGTAACGAGTTTGAAGCTCTTCTCTGAGACCCGGGAGAAATGAAAGATCAGAAAGAAAAGGAGACCCTTTCATAAGGTTTGCTGGGTTGCCTTTCATTCCCCACAGAGTCCGTTCATTAAAAGGGGAGCTGTTGCCTGAAGTTCATTGTGGTAGATGTGTTGGAGCACGAAGAAGGACAGAATACGCAGATTCTTGGTCATGTCATTTTCCTGCCCCGCTTTCTGAAAAAAACTGTGAGCCCCCCTCCCCTACCCCCTCCCCTCTACCCAGTCAGGTCGGGTTAGTCGGATGGTGCCCGTGAGCGGGTACTTGAGCCCCGCTCCGACCACCTCGAGTGGCCGCTGCGAGTGGCCGCTGCGAGTGGCCGCGGCCCCGAGTGACCGACCGGGCGGGGTCTGCAGCCAGTCTGCCGTGCTGTGGGCCGCGCTCCCCGAACAGGCCTGCTGTGCGTAGGAGGCCCGGGGTCTGAGGCAAGCTGTTGATCCAGACTGCTCAGGCCAACTGTTTTCCTGCCTTTTTTTAAATGGACGTTCAGATCTACAGATAAGGTCTTGCTCTTCAGACCTGATCTGAAAGTGCCCAGTAAGTCTTCTCTGCAGCCCAAGTCAGACTAGTCACCCTGTGGGGAGGCCTGCCCTGTGTTCGGAGGGGCTCTGGAAGGGGGCGCTTCAGGCTTCCGAACCCAGTTGCCCCCACTCTGCTTGTGTCCGTCCATCCGTTTGCCCACCGGACTCCGCATGGGTGCCGGTGCGGGGTTGGGGAAGGACTCTGGGACGCAGGGTCACCCTCCAGGGCTCCCGTGCCATGTAGGGAGCAAGGGACCCAGGCCCTCCTCTTCTTCCTGGGGGGTTGGACTTGCTGTGCAGCCTTGACCTGGGTGGACACGTCTGCGTCCTGGCGCTCGACGGAGGCTGGTGTGAGCTTGGTCTCCAGGTGGGTGTTCGGCCTTCTCCACCTCACGTGGCCTTTGCGGGACAGACGTGTGGAGAAGCTGCCTCCTGGCCAGTCTCTCTCCTGCCCCAGGGGACGCCGTGACCTTCCTGTGGGGCTGCTCGGTACAGCTGACCGTCCTGTGGGTGGGGTTGGGAACGGGGGTGTAGAATTTGAGCCACTGAAAGGCTGAGCTCCCCAGCAGTCTGTGGGACCCCCTCTCTCTAGCTGGGCTCAGCTCCCGCCCACCTGCCTTGCACATGGGCTCAGGGACCTCCCCCCGCGCCTGCTGCGGAGGCCGCGGGCGCCGGCCCGGCCAGCACTGGGAAGGGCTCGCTATTTATTTCTGTGTTGTGTACGTGTTGTCGTGGTCTGCTGACGCCCTGCTTCACCGAGAGCGACTTACCTCAACGGCTAGTTCAATATCGTGTGCTGGATAATTTTTTGGAAAAACTTTTTAAAAAGCTTTTTGATCCTTGGAGGTCTGTAGATTTATTTCCATATGAACTGGTTATTTTGTATAAATTACATTCTTAAAATAGCACGTCTCAGAAATGTGTGAATTGTGTGTCTGTGTTACTTTTCTCGTCAGGGTGAACTCCCACTGACACAAGTCCCCAGTGCTGTTGCCCAGGAAGTGCCACCTGGTCCCAGCCTCATTAAGTCCGGGCCCAGCGTCACAGGCGGTGGGAGCAGGGACCTGTGCAGGGTACCGTGGCATGTAGCCCAGAGAACCTGCCAGCAGAAACAAAACCGACCAGCAGTCTGCACGGCGTTCGGAGCGGGGTGCTCTCCCCCCGAGCCCGCACTCGCCCGGCCTCTGGCTGCCGTCTGGGGCACAGCCGTGATGCACCGACTGTGACTTTGCAAATCCTGGGGTGGTGGGGGGCCCGGTAGGTGATCCACACAGCTGCTGCCAGCCGGGGGGCAGGGACGCGGCCCTTGCTGTGCAGAGTGTGTCCCAGCTGCGAACAAGTGGCGTTGCCGACTGCGGGGTCCCCCACAGAAATCCCTTCTGTGATGTGAATTTCTTATAGGAGCCAGATTTTGACGGTTTTAGCTAATGGTCAGGTCTTACTATTTTTCATGGAACTTTGCTCTGAGCAGAGCACCTGGAGGTTGCAAGGTGTGTATCTGCTTGGGACCAGAACAAAGTGTCTTCTACTGGTCAACACTGTTTCAAAACTTGGGTGCCGTTGGGAAGCTGACCTTCACCCTGAAACCCTCCTGCAGAGGCGACTGGCCTGTCCTCACGCTGTTGGGCAAGAGTTGCTCTGGCCTTTCTGCCCGGTGTCTGGCCCGAGTTGCTCCCTCTTTGGGTCCTTGCAAGTGGCTGGCAGACCCATAGTCTGGTGGCATCGGCTCTTTCCTTCTTTCTTTTTTTTAAGAACTTTTGTGCACGTATTGTCCCTTGTCCAACTCAGGATCGGTCCACTTTTAGCAAAAACTTGACCTGGAACATGGGCTGAAATACAAGCCCAGAAAGTGGCTGGAAACCCCCAGCTCTGGCTCTCGTACCGAAGGCCCCCACACCTCCACCGCCCGTCAGTGTCCAAGTGCAGAGAGAACCCAGGGCCACCGAGCGGTGTGCGCCCTGGGAAAGGCACCTGCAGCTGCTGCTCTTCCACACGGGACAGACTTGGAGCTGATGTTGGCCTTCCAGTGGCCCTGACCTCAGTCACGAGCAGCCTTCCCCCAGAGCGTGATGGCTGCCCAGCTCTCCTGCTTCATGCCACCCTCCCAGCAGTCTCGGAGGGTGTCCCTCTGTCCCCTGTGGGTGAAGAAAGCTGCTAATCAAGCAGCTTGCCTCAAGTGAGGTCGCTGTTAACTTGGGAGCTAGGATTTGAACCTGGGGCTCCTGAGCCCAAGGTCTCTCCCAAATCCTTGGCCAGGCAACAGGGTCCTGTGCTCCCCCAGACCCTGTGTGGCTTGCCAGCCTCCTCTCCCCTGTACAGACTTGGTGCTTGCCCCAAATTAGACAGTTTGCTCCTAAGAAGAAGCTGGGTTGCTCAGATGGGCACCCTGTGGGCAGCCCTCCCGCGGTGCATGTGTCCGTGAAGCAGGGGCCCCCGGAGACCACGGGAAACACAGAGGCGGCCGCCTGCAGCTGTGCAGGTGCCTGAGTCCGAGGCGCAGCTTCTGGCACCAAACGTCTGGCCGCGTGTTTGTGTTCCATTGGTTCCTCGGTGTTTGTTCTCCCTGACCTCCAGGTCCGTGCCCCGTGCCAACCCCCTCTCCAGGGTGTTCAGCAAATCCCAGCCTCCATTTTTGTCCCAATCACACCAGCCACGAGTCCACAACCACCTGGGGGGGAGAGGGCTGGGCTGCATCTCTTAGGGGTTTCTGGGGGATTTAAGGGGGCTTCAGACAACACAAGCATTGCGGCCAACGCCCAGCACAGCTCAGCAGTGACCTGTCATCCGCCCCCAGAGAAGTCGAAGGTTCTTCTGAGAGCAGGTGAGTGTTGTCTGAAGTAGAAGCTCAGCGTTGGCGGGGAAGAGACCCACTTCTAGCAAAGAAGGTGGGGGGAGTGGCTTCCTGCCTGGGACTCTCGGGCCCCATCTGGGTCAGGAAGCATCTTGTCAGAGAGGGACAGCAGGGTGCCTGGCCGTGGCACCCCTGGCACCGGGGAGCACGGATGGTCTCGCCAGGGCAGGACTGTGACCAGGGACGGGACAGACTGCAAGGAGCCACTCTCCGGTCGCCGAGACGAAGGTCTGCATTGAAGGGCCCTGTGTGGCAGTGCGGGGGCCCCTCTCAGGTGCCTGGCCTCTCCGACGGCTGCACAGATGGTTGTGACGCAACATGGGAATTGCGGGGACTGGGCATTAAATGGTCCCAGGAAAGGGCTCCTGGATGACTTTGGGGACTCGGGAGGACTCACGGGAGGAAGGGGAAGCCCCAAGAACTGTTGGTGAGTCCTCAGGTGAGATGAAGTGTGGGCGAGGCTCGGGGGCCAGAGGCCACGTGGCTGGGAGGTGGGTTGCACTGAATGTGGGGAGTGGCCGGCAGGGGGGGCAGAGCCGGGGTTTGGGAGGTGCTGCCTGTGTGGTTGGAGAGGTCGAGTCTGTGTGCACAGTAGGGAAAGGGTTCCCAGTGTGGGGGAACTGGTCCGGGGTCCACCTGAGCGCTTTAGTGCCCTTGGCCTTGCCGGCGGCAGAGCTCAGGGAGCTGGGTGGCGGTGGGGGCACCCCGGGATCTCACTGGGGCCAGTGGCTGGGAGACCCTGGGCAGCGATTTTCTCCCAGCCCGCTTCGGACCGTTGTTTTGTGAAGCAGCTGCTGCTGCTGCGGCCTGGCCGTCCTTGTGCGGCTCTCCGCTCCTCAGACGCATCGAGGCCCAGCCCACCCGCTGGCCCCCCGCAGGCTGGCCCTCCCGGGGGGCTGTCGGGAGCTCAGAAGACACTTGCAGACCCAGGAAGCAGCTGCAGGGCTTGAGTGTCCCATCGTCATTCCTGGACGCTAGGGAGCTTCCCGACTGCCCTGGGAGCCCCCTTTCCAGATCTGCCAGCGCCCCTCCGAGGCCCCGGCCGCTCTCCCAAATGCCCAGGGTCCCTCTCCTGAGCCCGTTGGGGCCCATCCTCACTCTCTCTATGCCCGTCCTGGTCCCAGTCCCCCAAACCCCCCGGTAGTGAGGGAAGGTCGCAGAAGGTGTTGGCAGTGTTGGTGGGTAAACACTGCTCCGCCCGATTGCAGGTGCGGGTCCCACGGCAGGTCCCAGGCCGCTGGCCTCGTCGCTTTACGGAGGAGGAGGCGCTGCGGCCCCAGGGGCTGTGACCTGCTGGGAGGTGGCCCCAGCCACTTGCCACGGACACGTGCTCTGTGCACCCTGCCTCGGTGGGCTGGAGTCCAGGGCACAGACACCACGCTCTCTGCTGTGGCTGCCGTCTGCCCCGAGGAGCGATAGCAGCCTTGCGTCCCAGGCGCCCCCGCGTCCTCTGCCCCCGACCCACAGGATGTCCAAGCAGGACTTGAGGTAACTGGGGCCGGTTTAGGGGGGAAGTTGCTGTGGTAACCACACCACTCAGCTTCCCTCCAGGTCCCTGAAGTATAAACTGGGGGTCAGGGAGCAGCGAGAGAAACCCACTTCCCTGTGGATGGAGAAATTGTCCAACTGGTGTTGCTCCGCTGCTCAGAGCGTCGTCCTGTAACCAGAGGGCCTGTGTGGGAGGCAGCTAATCGGTATTTCTGTCTTCCCATCTCACTTTGCAAAAGGGAAGAAAAAAGCACGTCCTGGCTGGCGTAGGTCAGTGGATTGCACACTGGCCTGTGAACCAGAGGGTCACCAGTTCGATTCCCAGTCAGGGCATATGCCTGGGTTTCGGGCCAGGTCCCAGGTCGAGGCTGTTCAACAGGCTGCCAAACCATGTTACATGTTTATACGTACCTCTATTTAAATGTAATTTGTATGTATGTATGTGGGCTGCGTCCTCTCAGCGACTGCACAGTTTAAGCCTATTCATCTGCTTTTACCACTTCCACTTCAGGTAACTTTGCATACATCTGCCTCTGACTGCAAAATAAAATGTTACTCAGCTCCAAGGAGCCTGAGAAAGCTTCACTTCCTATTTTCAGAGTTTATGAATTCCTCAAGGATGAGGGCCCACTTAAGAAAAGTGAGACTATCCTTTACTTTTGGCCAGAACCAGATCTCCCTGGTTTACCCCAAGTCTCTCAGGCTGACTCGGAACTCTCGAGTCGGAGAGGTGGGTCCTGTCAGCACAACGAAGGCCACTGTGCCCCAGACGCACCAGCTGGTTCACAGAGGGGTCAGAACTGAGATGGCCGTCCTGCTCACCTGCGAGTGCTGCCTGCACTCAGAGTCACTTCTGATGACCTTGACTCCGAGATGAAATTTCAGTGTGCTGGAAGCTGGGTCCGCCTGTGGCCCTGAATAGGGACAGGCTCAGAAGGGGGTGCTCTGACACCCAGCGACCCCAGGAGTATCTTTCCCAGAAGCCCTTGCAGCATCTCAGCTTTATGCATCCCTACTCTCACCCTGAACCCCTCTCTCACCCTGTGCCCCCTCCTCCCGTGACCCAGCATCACAGCAAAACTCGTCAACGGAGGCGTGGCGGGGCTTGTGGGGGTGACCTGTGTGTTCCCCATCGATTTGGCTAAGACTCGACTTCAGAACCAGCATGGGACGGACACGTACAGAGGGATGTAGGTACTGGTGTGGAGGAGCAAGGAGAGGGGCCCCCAGGCGGTCTCTGTGGGGTGTGAGCACCCTGGGGGAGGTGGGTGGGGGTGTTCTGCGGGGGAGCCCGCAGGACCGGGCTCTGGGTGGCAGCAGGGGCTCAGGGGCAGCCTCCCAGGTGCACTGACGTCCTCTCGGCCTGGCCTCTAGGACAGATTGCCTGGTGAAGACGGCGAGGGCCGAGGGCTTCCTGGGAATGTACCGAGGTGGGCTCCCCATGCCCTGGGGGAGGCTGGGGGGGTGGCATAGGCTGGGGGTCCCCATACATGGCGGGATCACAGATGGGGAAGTGGTGTCTTTGCCTGGGGAACTCCTGGGATGGCCTGGCTACCTGGTGGCCCCAGGCCAGTTGCTCTGGTTCTTTGCTGACACAGGCAGGCAGCTGTGATGAGCTTGGGGGGCACCCCGGGCCCCATCCTGGCACCACCCTGCCTCTCAGCGCAATGCTGGAGGCCACAGAGCCTCCAGCCCCCCTCGCTGCTGCCTCAGGGCCGACCAGCAAGAGCAGAAGAGCAGGGCTGGCCCGTGGTGTCCCTGCGTCGGGACTGTGCCCTGGGCAGTGGGCACGAGGCCGGAGCACAGAGCCAGGAGGGAGGAGGGGGCGGCACGGCCAGAGGGCAATTTGTCCCAGTGAAGTGAGAGACGAGCCTCCTTGGCCTGCCTTGTCCAGGTGCCGCAGTGAACCTTGCGCTGGTTACCCCGGAGAAGGCCATCAAGCTGGTGGCCAATGACTTCCTGCGGCAGCTGCTCCTGGGTGATGGGTACGGCTGGGCCGCGGCTTCCCTGTCAGCGTGTGGACGGACATGAGCTCGCTTGGGGCTTAGCACAACTAAGGGAACAGGACGAGGACTGTGTGGCTGGGGGGGGGCGGGGGCTGTGTGGGACTGAGAGATGCTGACTCCTGGCCTGCAGGATGCAGCGGAACCTGAAGATGGAGATGCTGGCGGGCTGCGGCGCTGGGATGTGCCAGGTGGTGGTCACCTGTCCCATGGAAATGCTGAAGATCCAGTTGCAGGACGCCGGGCGCCTGGGTGAGGCCAGTCACCCCTCCCCACGGCTGCACTTGCGGCCTGTCTGTGTGACCCAGCCCACGTTCTCGGTCAGCAGGCGTATGCATGTGACCGTCCTATTCTGGATTCCACCACGTCCAGCTCTAGAACCCATGGCAGGAACAAGAATCCTGGTGCAGGAGGGCCAGAGGCCCCGCCCCCCAACTCTGAGGCCACACTGCCTTGGATGTGAGCCTTGGTTTCCCGAGGCCAGTGAGGACCGCTGTGGGCTCGCTTACCGCACCGCAGTTTGTGGAGCCTTCGTTAGGATGCTGTAGCAACCGGGCTGGAGTGGGAAAGTACAGGAGGGAGAGGAGAGAACCATTGCTGTTCTGGTTTTCTCTGAAAGAGAAGCCGGCCCTTTGCTGAATCCTGTCCCTCTGAAGAATAGAGAATAAAGCGATGCAGGTACCACGGCCTCTGCGGAGAGCAAAGGCTGACTGTTGGGGCAGGGTGGGGTGCAGGCAGAGGGCTCCCCCTGACTAAGCCAGGGTCAGAATTTAATAAGCCAACGTGTCCTGTGCCAAGCAGAGCGTCCGAGGAGGACCCGCACAGCTGTGGGCGCCCTCCCTTCCCCGTGCTGTGTGCACCCCCCCCCCCCCGGTGGAGCCAATAAAACTGCCAGAGGGACTCTGGTCAGGGCTGGAAAGCCCTCACCTGGTTTGCTCAGCCAAGAAGAGGGAGGAGCTCTGCACGACTGATTTTTCAACTCGGGTGAGAAGTTGTATTCCTAAAACACTTCAAAAGAAGAGAAAGGCTCTGGGGGAGTGGAGTGCATCTAGAGATGATGGGAAGAAGGGCCACGGGTCGGGCTGTCGCTGTCCCACAGGGTGGCTCGCGGCCCTGCCGGGGTTCAGAAATGGGGGCCTGGAACAGCCGCCTTTGTGCAAGGGCCACGGGTCTGTGCAGAGCTGCTCAGACACTGAGAATGAACAGAGTCAACATCCACACAGTTTCAGTGTGTGAATCCTATGCTTATTGTGACTGGGATGCACTCGAAATGCTTGTGTTTGATATATGTACTCAGGAAAAAAAGTAAATCCACCCTATATATCGGTTTAGCTCATCTTATTTTTTTAATAATTCCTTTCAGATTTTACTTATTTTTAGAGAGAGGGAGAAAGAGAGAGCAACATCAATGTGTGGTTGCCTCTCACATGCCCCCAACTGGGGACCTGGCCTACAACCCAGGCATGTGCCCCGACTGGGAATCGAACCGGGGACCCTTCGGTTTGCAGGCTGGCACTCAATCCACTGAGCCACAGCAGGCAGGGCTGACTCGGCGTGGTATGAGCTTCGAATTACTCCGCTAAAAGGGGTTGACCTCTCCAGAGTCAGATTCTTACCGGATAGCACGGACTAGAGGACATCCTCCTGGCCTCAGTGTGCTAGCCAGAGGAGGCCCTGCCGAAGTCTAAAAAGCTGGTTTTAAAGGAATTTGCTGCTTCCCACCTGAGGCAGCAGGCACATGGGGTTCTTACGCCCCAGGGAGCCAATAGGAAAAAACGGTGTCAACAGGTTCAGAGCCTGTTGGGAGAGGGAGGCATCGGCCTTGGGGTGCGTGCTGCTGGGCGGGACTGCGCTGGCTGCTGCAGGTCCTATGGAGGGGTTCTCGGAGCTGAGGACATGTGATCGGGAATCGGCACCATCTCCAGCCTCCTGGCAGGGCCGCCACCTTGTCTGCAGCGTCCCAGACTCAGGAAGCAGGAGCCACTCCTGCTCCTCGTGGTGGTGGTGGTGGGGGGGAGGCCTGGGTGGTGACAGGAGACCCGTCCCTTTTCCCTTCTAGCTGCTGGTGCTCAGGGTTCGGACTCGGCGCACTCCTCCCTGTCCACTCAGAAGCGTCCATCTGCCACCCTCATCGCCCGGGAGCTGCTTCGCACCCAAGGCCCAGCTGGTCTCTACAAGGGCCTGGGAGCCACTCTCCTCAGGTGAGACTCCCGTCCAGACGTGGGACACGGAAGGGCCCCGGGGATGGCGGCCCCGACCTGCCCGTGCTCTTCCCGAAGCCTTGAGAGCATCTTGATGCTTCAGACTCCGCCTGGATTCGGGCAGGGCCGCGTGGAGTGGGCCGCTGGAAGACGGCTCCTAGGCCCGTGTCCCGTGACCGGGCCCATGGGCACCTAGAACGTCTGGTGTACAAAGGACTTTGGGCCACCCCCAAGGCGGTGAGAGGCTGTTCCCCTCATTTTACTTTGCTACCTGACCCCACTCCTTTCAGTTGGTCACAAGTATCCCAGGCCAGGGGTTTTCTGTTCCCTGGGCAACAGATGAACGTTGCCAGCCCCCCCGTCCGTCCCTCACCTCTTAGCCCTGCCCCCAGTCTCCGAGTCTGCTTCGGGCCCCTGGTCAGAAGCTGTAGGTGCTGTGGGGGCAGAGGAGTGGGCCGGGATGGGGGTGACCTCTCATGCTGTCACCCCACATCGTCGCTGGGTGCCAGGGCAGGAGCACAGAACCTGGGCTTGTCCCTGACCATCAGCAGCTCGGCTTCTTGCGTGGCCTCAGGGAGAAGCCCAGAGGGGCTTGTGGCTCAGGTCTCGTCCTCCTCCCTGCAGGGACATCCCCTTCTCTGTCATCTACTTCCCTCTGTTTGCCAACCTGAACCACCTCGGGGTCAGCCTGCGCACGGGGAAGGCCTCCTTTGTCCACTCCTTCGTGTCGGGCTGCGTGGCCGGCTCCGTGGCTGCTGTCGCTGTGACCCCCCTGGACGGTGAGTGCGTCGGGGCTGGACGGGCCGCAGGCTCGACGTGCCTCACAAAGTGGGCACCTGCGCGGTCATTTACAGGGTAGGTCGTCATCTTGCACTTTCAGGACAGCGACGAGGCAGCCGCCCCCCCCAAACCCTTGGGTCACGACCTGTGACCACAGGTGTGCCCGGAGGACGTGGCGCCTCGGGGTTCAGCCCACGTGTGCCCCTGCGAAAGGAAGCCAGCCTGCTCTGTGTCGGGAGGAGGCCTCCGGAGCAGGGTGTCCCTACTCACTGGCGGTAACTTTCGCTCTAGTTTTGAAAACACGAATTCAGACCCTCCAGAGAGGCCTGGGCGAGGACAGCTACAGTGGCATCAGAGACTGTGCCAGGTGAGAGCCCGCCCCCTCGCAGCCGCGTGGTGTCACCACACCCAGTCCCTCACCGTGGGACGCGAGATCTGTTTTTGACTCCCTCCGTCCCAGCCGGAGCCGGGTGCGTGGGGGCTTTTCTCCTGGGTCTCCCACGCCCCACATTCGCACCCAGCCCCTCCCTCACCGCACACACATCCGGGTCGGCGTGGCTCCCACACGGAAAGACACAGCCCAGAGGAGAGGGTGCCTCTGCACTCCCTGCGGCAGACCTCACCCTGGCCCTCCCTTCTCCAGGAAAGTCTGGACACAGGAGGGGCCGTCCGCCTTCCTGAAGGGCGCAGGCTGCCGGGCGCTGGTCATCGCCCCTCTCTTCGGCATCGCCCAGGGCGTCTACTTCCTCGGCATCGGCGAGCGGGTCCTCGGGTGCTTTGAGTAGACACGGCGGGAGGGCCTGGACCAGCGGGAGCGGGTGGCTCCGCGCGGTTTGCTGCCTCAGCCCTGCGAGGAGCCACCCTGCCCGCAGGCACGCCGGCTGCAGCCCTCCTCTCCAGACCGCAGCTGCGCGGTTGTGTTAGCTCCGGGACCTTCACGGGCAGGAAGTACAGACAGGGTTTCCCGTGCTGTCCGCCCCTGTTGTGCATAAGCCCAGTGCGTGCGAGTCGGTGGGGGGTTTGCTTTTGTTGGCCTGAATGGAGTAGTGAACGGTGAGTTCCAGCACTCATTTCGGGGGGCAGGAGAATCAGGTCAGGGGCACAGTGCGAGCCCTGAGTCGCCCCTAGAGTGAAACCAGGCGAGCCTCTCAGCTCATGGGGCAGAACCTGAGTGGCAGGGCTGGCGTCCGGCCCCCCAGGACACCTGCCTGGGTCAGAGGGTGCGTTGTGATCTGGCTATGAGTGGGAGCGGCGGATAGTCTGCAGTCAGTCCCCTGCCATTGTGTCCGACTGGAAACCAAACAGCCTGGAAGTGAGAGGAAGCCACGTTCAGGCCCCTTCCCCACAAACCCTATAGATTCTCATCTCTCCTGACTCTGCCGGAGCCCGTGGAACCATTTCCTCAATAAAGACGTCGGCCCTGCAGAGGGCAGATCGTGGGACCATCCGCGTGTGTGGTGTGCGGAGCTGGGAGGGGTGGGGAAATACCGCGGGGCGAGGGTCCGTGTGTCCAGCACCCACAGCCGTCAGCAGATGCTGGACAGCTAGAAAATGGTAGCTCTTCTAGGTTCCGCACAAAAAACTATTCCCTCAAACCACACTCACTTGCATAATAAATTACAACATAAACCTTTTGTTTAATAAATAGAGCCTCCAGGCTTGGATTTTACATCACACGTGCAGGTGGAGCCCCTCCACCCGCAGGTCAGGCCTGGAGAGCGGAGGCCCCATGCAGGACCGGGGCGCTAGGTAACTAGAAGCAGAGGAGAGCGAAGACGGCGAGGCCCATGCAACCACCACCCGTTCCTTCACCGCCAGGCTGCGGGACCAGCGGAGAGCTGTGATCCCTTCCGAGAAGCGAGAGGTAGGTTCCTGATCCTAGTGACTGTCACCAGTCGGCGAAGGGCATATGACACACAGGGACGATTGGAGCAGCAGAGAGGACACCTTGGCCTGCTGTGGCCTCAGCGACCAGACACGCCCGCCTGCAGCCGGCCTAGTCCAGGAACTTCCTGTTGGCATTCGCACCGAACAAGGCTCCGCGCACTTCCGGCATCATCTGTGAAGAAGTAACGTTGTTAGTAAATAGTGTAGTCGACTGGGAAACCTGGGAAGAACGGCACCTTCAAAAAAACTGAGTGTATGGGGGTGACCCTGGCGAGTGACTTCACACGGGCTTCGGGGTGCAGCTCGTGCTGTGTCATCTGTGCAGTGCAGCGTGCGCTCGGCACCCCGGGTCTCCACTGGTGGACCGCACCGCGTCCCTCAGACGGCAGGTCGTGGCCCTCCCTGGCTGGGAAGGAGCCGCGGTGATGTGGGGAAGGCACCCACCCACAGCTGCGTTTCCTCGTCTTCACCTTCTGGGCCACCTAGTCTCTTCCACGAACACTCGCTGACACCCACAGACCACACGGAAAGCTGGGGGTGCAAGCTGGGCCGAGGGGCTCCTCGCGGCAATGGAAAATCTCTTAGGATCCAACCCCGACTTCCTAAGGCTGCACGCTCAGCACAGTTGCGAGCCACACGTGGTCTTGTGCCCCCAAAACGTAGCCAGCGTGACCACGGAACTGGACTTTCTTTTGGATATTTAAGCAAAAATAAAGGAAAATGTCCAGTTGTAGCAACTGGCTGCCCTGCCGAGGCACAGCTGTCAGGTGAGCAGGTGCCGCTCCCCGTCCACGTGCGCCAGACACCTGCACAGGGCGACACCGGGCGCTTCCAAACCACACCTGCTGTCTCTTTGGAGACGTCTTCACTTGGTGCAAACGTGGGGCTGGGGGGGCCAGGAGCCCCACAGTGATCTCTTTAAACACAATCTATTTCAGCTCCCACCATTCTTGATTGACAAAGAACTTCAGTCAACCCTGATAAACAAAACCCGAGTTCTGACCTCAAATCCTCCCTCCTGTAAGTCAGGGCCCCCAGGCTACGAGCAAAACTTGCCTGAGAGCCACCTCCTGCGTCTGCACCCCTACCCTCCGTGCCATAAAGGTTGGGGATTGTTGCGACCCCCAAACGCTGATCCCATACCTTTTAAGAAGTCAAAGTGCGGACAGAGAGCAACAGATCCCGAACAGCAGGCAGTCCCAAGCCCCCACTCACCTGCTGGGCAATGAGGTCCAGTCGGCTCTCGAGAGTGTTGGAGACCTTTATTTTACGGTCCCCATTGTAGATCTCAACTCCACCAGCGCTGCAAACAGAGGAATGACCACTTTTACTGGGCTGAGGCAGGCAGACACACGGCACAATTCTCAGTTCCCCTGGAGGAGCGTTTGGGGTGTGGGGTGTCTCAATACCACAGGGGACAGTGAACATAAGTGACAGCTTGGAATAAAAAAGGCTCCTCAGGCCTGAAGGGGTGGAGCTGGTGGCCCCATCGCTCACCAGGGACATGCCAACAGGGCTTTCCTGGACCACCCAGAGTGAACCTCCCACCAGCAGCCTGCAAGGTCAGAAGGTGGATGCCACAGTCCCAGTTTGCAAATGCACAGAGTCCTGTCTGCTTCCTGAAGGCACAACTGCTGATGACCAGGGGTACTAATACGGCAAAGTCCTGTGTACACTGGGAAGTCCTGCCTCGGCCATTGGTCACTCGGGTTACTGTTGTCTCCCGGCACTCAGAGGGCGGACGGGTCAGATCCCATCACGGGAGCCTTGGGGAATGGAAACCGTTGGCCGTGTCACCGTCGCCTTGACAGCAGGCTGTGGGACAAAGGCTGGGATAGGCCTCGCAGGTTTTCTTTGGAGGACTTCAATGGGCTGTGACCCCAGTATCTTCTTTCCCCTCCTTCCCTGCCAGTCCTTTGTTCCATCTGTCAGTGGTGAAGAGGCTCCACTGTCCCCAAGGGGGATATTTAGTTCTCTGCTGAAAATCTGGAGCTGCTGCCGAGCAGAGTGGACAGCGAGGGAAGGGTGAGACCCCTGTGCAGGGATCTCCTGGGTGCCCACTGCGCATCAGGCGTCCTCACAGCGTTACAGGTAAGACAGGTTTACAGAGTTAATAATAAAATGACAAAGCTGCGGAGTAAAATGGTGGTATTTAAAACTCCAAGCAGGAGGGCCCCTCACGCTCAGGCCCTGCTCAGGGGTCTTAACTGACACCCCTTCTCTACCACAGCCCGACTCAGCGCTCCATCTGCCCGACAGCCACAGCAGTGACAATGTCCTGGGAGGAGAAGCAAGAACAGCAAGACCCAAGCCCACGCCAGGTGTGTGGGAGGGGCCACAGACCTTACGTCATCTAAGCTCCCAGAGTCCCGAGAGGCAGGTGTCATCGCCCAGATGGACTGAGCAGATCAAGGCTCTGTGAGGTCACACACTGGATCAAGGAGACCTTGCTGGCATGTGGCAGAGTCCAACCCACACCCAGCAGTAAGGCTCAAGCCCGACCTGTGCACCTCCTGGTGGGCGGAGCCCTTTAGTCACCCAGCCCTCCCCCGACCCACCCCTTTATGACACAGAAAGCCGGTGTGTGGAGCCACTTCAGATGGGGTTTAGTTCTGTCCCAGGGTCCGCGTCAGGTCCGACAGCACAGCAACTACGTGGTCCTCAGCCCTGCAGCCCAGGACCTGCACTGCTGGTGTCCCCCAGTGGGGGCGGGGGAGAGGTCCCTCCACCCCAGTCAGCAGAAGGGCTGTGGTGTCTGCAGGGCCGGGCCCTGGGACCCTCACCACCAGTGACACACGACTGCGTTCTGCTGCCAGAGGCCCCTCAGCGGGAGAATACATCACTTAGCAAAGAACGGGGTCTGGGCCCAGCTTTGCCAACTGGTTGAGAACGGTGTTGCTGCTCTGCGGAGGGAACCAAGGGACCCTCAGACGCTGGACTTGGAAAGGGTGCCCGTGGTTCAGACGAGCACGCAGGGCCCGGCAGAGACCAGGGTGCCCCGGACAACATGACCTCCACAAAGGCCCAGCTGAGGGCCTGGCTCGCAGCAGGAGGCAGGCGTGAAAAGCAGAAAAGCTCCTTACGTTTCCTCGGGCAGGTAGGCCTCCTGGTCAATCTGGACGTCAGCATCTTTCTTGGTGGCGATTTTGTACATGGGGATGGCTTTCTGCACAGCAGCCTGGAAACGCAGAAAATAACCAGTCTTAGCAGAAACTGTGAAGCAGATATTCAAAAAATCCATACACTGCAAGCATTCTGTATTTCAGGTAAGAACAGGAGACTAGGAGAGGAGTGTGAAATGGTGCAGTTGCTGTGGTAAAGTGGGGCCGTTTCACAGACAACTGGACGGAGTCACTATGTGGTCCCATAGTTCTAGGTCTGGGCCATCCAAATAAGGACAAGCAGAGGCCCCAAGGGGGACTCGCACCCCCACAAGCACAGTAGTAGTCACAGCGGCCGAAAGGACCCAGGTGTCTTTGTTGACTGGATGACCCGGAGTGTGGTGGGTGCGCGGGACTGAGCCTGAGTGAGGGGGTTTGGTCGCCTGCTGGGCACCAAATGAACCAGGGAGACACTACACAGGGAACTGAGCCAGACACAGCAGGACTAACGCTAACCCTCCTGCTGGAGGCGGCAACAGTAGTTAAATCCACAGAGACAGGTGGTCTGGGGGCTGGGCAATGAGTTTAATGGCGTCAGAACTTCACTCCAGGGACATGAAACTGGAGGAGATGGTGGTGACGGTTACGCAGCACTGTGCACTTAAAGCAACTGTGCATTTAAAGTTGTTAACTTTTTATTATGTCATTTTATCAGTTTTCTTATAGATGGAAGTGAGCTTTTAACTACAGTATTGTAATCAGTGTGATAAAACACCTAACAGTGGAAAGTCCAATCTCTGAACAACAGTGTGAGCACTTCAGCATTGAGCTGGCCAAAAAGTCTGTTTAGTTTTTTCCATAAAATGAAAAGCACATTGTTCATTTTCACCCCTAGCTTTACTGATTCGGAGACGCTGAGTCTGTCCTGTCAGCCATCTCCCACTACGGGCTTCTGATGGGCAGGGGCCAGGGCTGCTGCTCAGCATCCTCCAATGCATGAGACGGCCCCACAGCAAAGGATTACTTGGCCACAATGTCAATAGCACCAAGAAACTGCACAAACCACTTTTGACATGTTTGATCAGTCACAGCACCTTCTCCACACACTGCACAAACCTTTTTTCGCATTTCAGTTGCATTTTTACTTTTCTTGAAATAAAACATAATGTGCCAAAAATGTTGCATGTTTTCTTCCATCTTCAATATTAAAATGGCTACACAAAAATTCACCAATTTTGGTGAGTTTTTAGTCAATTTTAATTGCATTGTGACAGCAACATCGTTTCAAATGAAGTTAAAGACAACTAAGCACTGCTAGAGCCATCGCACCGAACAATCATAATGGACTTTTGTCCAACCCAATGCAAATGTAAATAACATCTTAAAGGAACCTGGACGTTTTGCTCTGACTGTGTCAGCGGTTCAGCAGGTCGGTGCCTGTCTTCCCTCCCCTCGAATCTGACGCAGTGCCACCCTGGAGAGCTGCTCAGGACGCAGGGACACTGCCACTGTGTCTGCCTTGAGAAACTTTCGGGCACCCAGGGACATGCCTGCGTCACCTGGGAAAGGCCGGCAGGCAGCACGGACCTGCTGCCACAGCGCGAGGAGCCACCCAGTGTGTCTGCCTCCCTGCCGCGCGGGCTCCCAGACAAGGCCATGGACCCACGTCACCAACACAGTGCAGAACCACGGTGCCCTCGTCCACCGTGCAGGCCAAGGGGCTCGCACACCTAGGCCGCCTGGCCTGTACCTTTCCTTTTCTAGGAGACTAGTAATTTGGGGAGACAAGTCACAGAACGAAAAGGTATCCTGCAGAGTGAATGTACTAGTTTGTAAGAAAGGGGAGATGAAGGCCTTGGCACTCACACCGTGACCTGAGAGCCAGCTGCGTGGAAGGTTTTGCCTGAAGAGCCACTCGACGGTACAGACCTGGGCGAGGGCGTCCACCCGGGCCTGGGGCTCACCGGCCTCCCGTCACAACCGTGGTGCACCTGTCCCGGCCAGCAGCTCGCACCACAGGCTGTGGTGCCCCCCCTCCTGGAAAGGGCAGGAAGCAGCCCCAGGGCCAGAGCTGCGTGTGCCTGCGCTGCTGACCGCCCTTCTCTGGCGCCCAGCACCCCTCCAGGTAGGAGATGTCAGGTTGGAGGCAGGCCTCGCTGGCCGAGAGCAGTGGGCCGGCCCTGCCCAGTTCTAGTGGGTGCAGCCCACCACTGTTTGCAGAAGATCAGGGTCTCACCGAGTCTCTAGGAAGGAGGTGGGGGCCAACTCGGGAGGCAGTGTGGCCCCTCGAGGAAATCAGAGGCTGAGCGCATGGGGCCAAGTTGCCACACGTGTTAGGGCCCCTCTTCCCCGTGGGCACACTGCCATCTCTCAGAGCGTGCACCCAATTCCCTCGAAAAAGGGTCTTTCTCCAAGCTCTTTACCTTGACCAGAGGGAAATCCTGTTTCCGGCAACGAACCACCATCCGGGGCTCCAACAGCTGGTACATCCCCTGCAACACAAGTGGGTGCGGTCAGTGGGAAAACACGCTGTAAAGTCAGGCAACAGCAAGACAGCGCTTTTCGGATTCTCCCCTCTGGTTCTGAAAAAACAGTGTAGATTTCCCCAAAAAACAGCATATAACAAAAGGGAGGACGTAAAAACATGGTGTCGATGTCACCAAGCAGAAAAACACACCCAAAGCTCAGGTGGCAAGAAAACAGAATTTCTACAGGAGCCACACCTCAAATCAACTGGGTAACTGGTGTAAGTAAAATAAGGACTCACAGCCAAGCAGTAAAGGGTTAAAGTGTATACAGCCTCTCGCCTGAACCCCAGCAGTCAAAGCGAGGAATACTAGTCTAGTGGTGAAATCAAATTAGGACTCCGATTCGAAGCTTCAGAACTGAAAGCTGAAGGCTGCACGCACTCAGACCCACGCTGTAAAAAGTCACGAAAGAGCAGTGAGCGCGGACTCTTGTCCAGCCCCACGGACAGTCCTGCCGCCTCATGCAGTGCCGTTCTCCGCCAGACCAGGGACCGAGCCAAGGGAAGGGAGACCAGGGCAGGGGAACAAGGGAGCTGTCCTCTACACAGCTGGACATTTTTTAAGAAAGATTTTATTTTCAGAGAGGGGAAGAGGCACCGAGGTGCCGAATGTGCAAGAGAAACATTGACCGGTTGCCTCTAGTGCCCCAACCCAGGCCCGTGCCCTGACTGGGAATCGAACCTACCACCTTTGATTCGCAGGTGGGCACTCGATCCACGGAGCCACACCAGCCAGGGCAAGCCTGTCAATTTTTTAGGTACTGTGGCTATAAACTGGAGTAGACCTGGCCTATACAGATAGATACCTGGAGAACCAGTCCGTCCAGCAGCACCTGGTACCTGGTTGTATCCTTGACCACCCTGCCGAGTCTCTGTTTTGCGTCGTTGAGTAGGTCCTACGATGAGTGGAAGAGAAAGCAGTTATCTCTGTACCTGGGTAGTCGGCATAAAACGCATCGTGAGCACCAGCTCATGCCCCGCATCACAGCTCGTAGCTGTGTCCATTCATTGCATCCTCTGAGTCGCGTGATGGACCAGGTGCACCCCGAGCACACAAGTCCCAGGTAGCACCACCGTGGCTCCCTGGGGGCCGGTCTGCAGAACAGCCCAGACCAGCAGTCGGTTCCGGACAGACACACTGACCAACACGGGAAGATTTGTGTGGTATAGACTCAAAAAGTAAGCTGTTAAGGCGGTTATACAAGATGATTCTATTTTTAAAAAGATTTTATTTATTTACTTTTACAGGGAATGGAAGGGAGAAAGAGGGAGAAAAACATCCATTGGTGGCCTCTCACACACCCCCAACCAGGGACCAAACCTGCAACCCAGGCCTGTGCCCTGCTCAGGATTGAACCTGTGCCCTTTTGTTTTGTGGGACGCCCCGCTCACTGGGCCAACTTCCCGTTTTTACTGATGGAAACACCACTCTCCTAGTTAGGCCTGACATTTGGTATTTGGCATTGAACTTGGAGGAGGGGAATCAGCAGTCAACGTCTTCCTGTAAAACGTGTCAGATTCATCTAGTGAGAATCGTATCTTTTAACGTCAGTTTGTTTCTTTAATCATCCAATAGAATGGTATGGTTTCCATTTATTCAAGTGTTACAGCTTTTTCCATGGAGGTCTTGTCAGTTACATTCACTCCCCCAAATTAAAAATAATGTTCGTAGCTATTGTTGAGCGATCTACTCTGTTTTACTTGCTAATTGGTTACTGTTGGAATGTAGGAAAACTTAATTTCTCTAAGTTCTCTTTGTAGCCTTTCTGCCACCTTCTGAACTAATTACTAATTCTTACTGTTTTTTGGATACAACATCCACAGAAAACACAATGTTTTCTGTGTAGATGAACGAATCTGCAAAAATAGTCATTGTTTCTTTCTTTCCCAACTGGACACAGCTCTTACTTCTCCACTTTATGAAGAGCTGAGAGCCCTGCAATAACCGTGAGCAGCAGTGGACAAGCGGCAGGCAGCCCGGTCTCGTCCTGACTGTGACTCTGACCTTCTGGGCTTTCTCAGCCGCACACTGCGTCTTTGTGCCCTCTGCCCTCTTCCAGGCAGCCCTGCCCATGGTTCCCTCGTGTGTGACCTGTGTGACAGTCTGCCGACCAAATGCTCTCTCTAAAAATCACTGAACTCTTTAATTACTGAACAGTAACTAGTATATTCTCTATAATAGGCAAATAAACATTTTATAATTTTATAACTGACAGGGGTGAATTACTCACTGTAATAAGGTCATCTCTCGCTCTGAGGACTTTGAGTCTTGCCTGATTCATCAGATTGGACATCTGACTGCAAAGGGTATGAAAAACAGTATTGGTGCCAGATAAAAACCAAAACCCGCAGAGAAAGAAATGTGTAGCTTCCTTTGTACACACAAACACCTCTTTGTCTATACCTCAAAGAGAACGCCACTGAAACATACTTAGGTATTTCTACAACATTCTCCTCAAAGGTAACGAAATATTTATTAAGTGCTTACCAAGTAGCAAATAATATCCTATCAGTTATTCCAGGGTAAGCTCCCCAGAGTCCTCTGGGGCTCCCACTTCCACAGGCGAGGAAAGAAGTTGAGCAGTGGGCCCCAGGTCAGGCAGGCAGCGAGGACCCAGTTAAGACACGACCCAGACTTGCTTGGCTCCGGAGCACCTGCTCCGTCCTCCTGTCCCACTGACTTTGTGACACTCCCTTAGTTTGATGCCGTGACCAGGACCCACTTACATTTTCTTCTGCTGCTCAATCTGCTTTTCTTTCTTCTCATAGTATTCCATAATCTTCAGTCTCTGGGTTTGCACGAGACGACCTTTCTCGATGTTGAACTCTTCTTCTGCCTGCCAGGGATGAAGTAATTCAAGACATCAGATTCTGAGTTTTATTTTAAGCAGTTGGTGAGCAGAAGTACTTGCTTATAATCATCTTATTTTAGACCAAAAGCAGGAAATGTATTGTTATTTGTCTTCAAAGATTACTTAATTTACTCAAAAAGGAAGACCAGTGATTTTCATCATAAATAATGAATCAGAGGACTGAAAATTTTATCAAGGATCGTACTACCCAGAAACAAAGTTACAAAAGATATAATCAGGTAGAATATTTTGTATATAAAAAAATCATTAGGCATTCTAAATTTAGTCCATTTGCTTACTAGAGAGCTAATGAAAACAACGCCAAATTTGGAGTTTAGAAAATCTGGGTTACCGCCTACAGAACAATGTGATTTTCTGTGTATAAATAATGTGCAACTGGAAGCAGTCACACAATTTTGCCTTTGTAACTGGCAGGAGGTTCCGTTTTCTGCCATAGGTACTTCCTAGGTATCTATTTTTTTTGCAATAAGCATCAATGAATGAAAAAGCAAAAGAGCAACAAAAAAATAATACACCTTTTTTTAATCAACTATCACAGTTAGCTATAGATTTTAATGTCTGAATGCTGGATTCCATGAGAAAATCAATTCATTCATTACTGTTTTTAATTAAATGTTTTTAAGTTTTCAAGTTTTGTTAGGAAGATTTTAGATTTACAGAAAAGTTGCAAATTTATGAGACTGTACTTTCACGTACCGTTTGTGAACGTCTTATATACACGATTTGTCAAAACCAAGAAATCAACACCAGCCCATTTCCACGAACCAAAACCTGAATACTGTTCCCTTTGTTGCTACTTAACGTCCTTTTCTGCTCCAAAACACCAGCCAGGACACCACTGACATGGTCATCGGACCCGTGACCGTCACTTCCCTTGTTTCTCACGGGCAAGGCAGCTTTGAAGAACACCGGTGTGGCACAGCACGTCCCTTCATTTGGTTCTGATCCCTGTCACTTGGGTTGGTGTCGGGGGAGGACACCACACAGGGGAAGTGTCCTCCTCCGGTCATATTTAGGGCGACCTGCGCCATTACCCACCTCACTTGCTTGGGTCACTACTTTTCCTTTTCCTTGGAAGTCCGGCCCGCACTCTGGGGAGGGTGGTGGCTGGGGGCGGGGGGGTTAAGCTCCAGGTTCTTGCCGCGGGCAGTAGCCTACATGTATTTTGTGGGGTTCCCCTCTAAGGACTGTGTTTTTTCTCCCCATCCACTACTTTTCCATCCGTACCATAACATTTCAGGACACTCACTAGCAATCAACGTCAGAAAGGAAATTTTGTTTTTAATGTTCAATATGAGACATATTCTTATTAACCCTGTGCAATGCATTGTTAAATAATTTTACTAATTACTGTTTATCAAAGTAGGACAATATAAAACTTTGTAACTTCTTAAATCTCAAAAATGGAATCTTACTTTTGCATCTATTTCTTCTGCTTTTTCATTGGCTTCTTGTTCAATAAAAGCCATCATATGCTTAATCTAGAAGGAAAAAGAAGAGATTATTTTACTTCTGAGTATAAAAAGAGAAGAAAGTGTATCTTTTCTGATTCAGTCAACTACTTCCTGACTCCATGGGATGCGCCAGGCCCTGTGCACAAGGGAAATCAGAGGGTCCCCCCACAGGGAGTTCGCTCCAGCACACAGCCGAGGCGCAGTACTCAATAACCGGGTACCCTCCTCCCGAGGAACTGGGATCCACTGAGGCCTCCCTCCAGGCAGCTCCTCTGCCTCCGCCCCTCTGACCCACCCGCACCGCTGCTGCATCCACTCCTCCGGCTCCCCCCCCCACACAAGTCCACCTGACTTCTGCCCTCTCCAGTCCACTGCAGCTGCACTCAGGAAATCACAGTCTCCTTGCTCTGAAATCTTGGCCTTATCTTTTTTGATCTTCCAACATCTTTTAAAAAAGATTTAATGTACTTTTAGAGAGAGGGAAAAGGAAGAATAGAGAGAGGGAGAGAAATATCGATGTGATAGAAACATCCAATGGTTGCCTATCCCATGTGCCCTGACCGGAGACCGAACCTACAGTCCAGGCCTGTGCCTAGACTGGAAATTAAACCAGCAACCTTTCACTTTGCAGGATGGCACCCAAACCACTGAGCCACACTGGCCAGGGCCAGAGTCTATTTTAAAAGTGACACAATACTTAACAAAATCTCAAGGCTTAAACTATTTGGGGCACCTACTTGAGGGTTCCATGTACAGAAAGCCCCATGGCCTTGCAGAAAGGACCGGCTCCCACACACCTGTGTGCATGGGGCCAGGTGAGAATGGCAGCTTCCCCCAAGTTCAGTTTGAGGCCTCAGTGAACCCAGTCTGGAATTTTAAAAGTAGTTTCACTAAATACAGTCATCAAATCAGATGTTTATAAATACCACAATGGCACTAACTTTAACCCAGGTCAAAAAAAGCCTGTTTACACTCAACCCCTTAAGGACATTTAACTCCACCCCTAAGGCAGAAGAATCTGCTTTTCTTTTTCCAGCTAACGCACTAATTTAATTCTTTGTTGTCAGATTCCTCTGACAATCTGGTGACATAAATGACAAAAAAGCACATATACACAAGTATTTTGTACAATGGGAAAGAAGTCAAGAAAACTAAAATTTACTAGGCACATCTATGTGCTTAGCACTTGGCCTATTCACGGCTGGAAATATGGGAACAAAAATCTACTGGTGTCCGGAAGCTTTGTGCAGCGTGCAGGGTCCTGGCAGATGTCTTCATTCTTTCAATTTTATAGGGAAAAAAAAGTGATTATGACTTAGAGCCCAAGGAAATGCACTGCTTTACCTTTGTATTTCTCCTGGGGAAGCCTAAGTCTTCAATATGTTATAACAAGGAGGGGGGGAAATGAAGGAGCAAGAGTAAGAGGAGACTAGGTCCTAACGACTGCACTACCAGAGTATGAGGAGGGCACTGTACTTTTCCACTTGTCAAGTTTTTCCTGCAGTAAAAACCTGAGCAGCAGTGCTAAATGTTCAAAGTCCACTGCTCTGCCCAGGTAGCCAGCTGGTTAGAGCTTGTCTCAGTAGCCAAGGTTGTAGGTTCAATCGCGAGTCAGCATACATCCACGAATCAACCAATGAATGTCTGCACAGATGAGTGGAACAACAAATCGATGTTTTTTTCTTTCCCTAACATCAACTAAACCTTTAAAATATTAATTGGAAAAGCCCAATGATCTGTAAGACTGTTGAAAGCTTTCTTGAAATTCTCCAGAGGCCATTTTTGTCACCCTTTTTCCTTTGCGATTAGCACAAGAAACGCTGAAATGAAGAAGAAATGTTCCATGTGCATGTTCGGTTAAGCCTAAAATTCAAAGGTATTTTCAAGGAAATGGAAACATCCTAAGAAAAAAACACTGTATTGCTCATCAAAAAATATCCATAAGCCAGCGAGTGAGCTTTAGTCACAGAATTTTCCTGCCTCTAAAAGAAGGACACTTCGTTCTCCAAATTAGGCGGAGATTAAATTGCAGCGTTAAACCCCCTTCTTTATAAAACCTATTGGCAACATGACCCCTAAACCCAAGGACCCTGGTTTCAGAATCTCTCTGGGCCGGACAAGTTCTGCGGAGAGACTTAGGCAGTTGAACGTTCCTACTGCCTACAGACTTGAAAGTCTGGCTCATTTCTTAACAAAACAAAAAAACCCCACACAGTTGCCCAGAACTGATTATTTGCTTGCAAAACTGATGTACATCTACAACCTTGGTAACAATCCTCCCCATAGACCTTGGCTCATTACTTCATGCCGAACACTGCTGGGCGCACGCAGGTGAGGAGGAGAGCTAAGCGCCGCACGGACAGGAACGCACAGCCTCGCGGGCCGACCCCTCCAAGGTGACAGCGACTGTCAGGTGGGCGACCTCAGAACGACGACGCCCGCGGGAGCGGCTCTCCGCCCTTGGCATCGTCAGGGTTAAAGCCCCGGGAAGAGGGCGTTCTCAGCCTTGCATTCCCCTTGCCTTTCCATCCGTGTTTGCCACGCTCTGCACCACCAGGAATAAGGAAAAGGGAACCCGAGTGGGGGCCGAGAGGCCACGCAGGCGGTTCGCGAGACTGGGCACCCGTCACAGGAGCAGTGGGGCTCCTCCCGGGTCGGCAGGACTTCCTTCCGCAGACAAGCCGCCAGGTCGCCGGGGCCGGGGACGCTATGGCGCACCCGGGATGCCCGAGGCCGTGTCCACCCACCCTCCCGGCGCCTGGCTCGGCCCAGCCCGGGACAAACGTTGCAGCATCGCGGGACCCACGGCCAGCCCCCCACCTGCTTTTGCACGTCAGCATCGCTGAGGGCCATGGCGACGGCGAGGCTGGGCAGGTGCACGACGAGCTCGAGTTTACGCCTCAAGGAGATAATGGACTGGAGGTGAAGACAGAAGAAAAACCAGCGTAGGTTCCGCTTTCCTTTGCTTTATAACCCCAGCTTCCGGTTCCTGTCACGTGACCGCGTAGCCAAGACACGTGGACACTACCACCCAATGAGGAAAGAGTAGGCTCGGGGCTGTCCCGTTCCCCCCCCCCCCCCACTGCCGGACTAGGCGCATGCGCATGTCCCAGCGCTAGTCCCTTCACTTTATATGCAAATGTATTGGCGCATTTTCCTGCAACAGTCTCCTTTCCGGTGAAACAGACGGAAGATCAGGGATTTCGGCATCTGAAGTTAGTGGAGCTGTGTGGAAACCCACAAAGTGGGCCTCATCTGGTTCAGTATTCTCATGAACTGAGCCACTCCAGATGAGTTTGTTTCTCTCATCTTGCTAGTTCCTGCGTTAGTAACTCCACTCTTCACCATCCCAGACATTTCCAGGATTTATGCCCCCCTCCATCATCCCTAGGTCAGCGTGAGGCGACATTCATTTTTTTAATACAGACCCTCCTACCACTTAAGTGTTCTGCAAATAATGGGTTGGAGAGCGAAAGGGGCAATGTAATGTCACATGTATAATGTTATGAAATTAATGTTTGAAACAGACATGGCACTGTCAAGACCAACGTGATCTTTTTGAAAACTGTGCTGATCTTTGTCATTTATTGTAACTTTTGAGACATTAAAAAACACAGAAAGGTACTGTGGGTAAAAAAAGGGAGTTGTCTGGAAACTAACCTCAGGAAGTGATGCGATCTTAAATTCCTAACTGGGCAGGAAATGATGTGTAGCCACGCCCCCACGCGTAAAACCTCTTCACTAAAGGGTTCTCTTAGCCTCCAGCAAGCCCTATTGTTTCTGTCCGTCCACGTTAACACACCTTTGAAGTAAATTCTAACTGCCTTCAGCAGAATAATGTTGCCAGCCACCCTGTTATCCAATCTCTACCTTGCTTTCTTCCGGTATCATGTAATCTGTCATTCCATCAATTTAAAAAAAATTTCACGCAAGGATATGTTCTCTGATTTTTGATGGAGAGACACAACTGGGCCCGCTGTCCTAAGAATTTTTTTTTCAATATATGGTTGCTTCTGGTGCATCCCGTGCTGGGAACTGGCCCCTACTGGGAACTGGCCTGCAACCCAGGGATGTGCCCTGATGGGGAATCGACGCGACCTTCTGGTTCGCAGGCCCGTGCTCAACCCACTGAGCTACACCAGCCAGGGCTTAAGAATTTTTATCTGTTCTATAAAGCAGGGGTTTTAGGAGAGGTTTGGGAGGATCCAAGAGACTACTCATCAGCTTTCCAGGGCTGTCCTTTCAAGGTCGTGGCCTTCACTGATTGGCAGGCACGGGGTGGAGTGTCGTTAGTCACGGCATCCGGTCCGGAGGTTAGCTTTGGCTTGGTTTAAATATTACACCTTCTCGACTGAATCCCGCAAAGGACGCTGGGTTCCGGTAGACCTCCCATAACAGTCTACTATATGTCCAACGCTAGGTGCTGTGAACAAAACAAAAAGGGGGTACTGGCAGCCCCGTTTTTCTCCACAGGGCCTCTGCTCCAACAAAGGTCTCCCCGCCCCGAGAAACGGCTCTCTACGCCACGCCAACCCCACCCCAGAAATCCCAGCTTTCAAGGGTGCTTCCCCAACCACTGGCTGCCAGCTCCGCGGCTCTCCTGACACTTCTCCAACTCGCTAGTCTGTGGACACGGGACGTGTTCTGTGGACGCAGCAACGTTCCCACCACGGCAGTCTCCACCCTCTCTGAGCACAGCGGTAGAACGCCCCACCCGCCTCCTTGCAGCCGCTGCCAACCACTTCGGCCGATCCCAGGAATCATAGAGTTGAGCGACCCCCAGGAAGAGACGCCGGCTCTTCCGGGGCACATCTGCGCGAAGAGACTTCCTAACCTCTATGGCTCGTACTTCCGCTCGGGAAATCCGCCTATTCCGGAGCCCCTGGGCGACCCCACCTGCTGACCCCGACGCCAGCAGTGACGGAAGCACGCCGGCGGTGACCTAACCCTCTAACATGGCGGCGGCGGTAGATTAGGGTCGCGGGTCGCAGCCACCGCGCCGCTGGAGGAAGGACGCTGTGTGAAATAAGTGCCGCCGCCGCCGCCTCTTCCACCTCCTCTGGGCCAGGGCCAGGTGAGGGGAGTGGGGTTCTGGGCGCGCGCAACAGGGTCTCAACCAGCTCCACCGGCGGCTTTCACGGGTCAGGAAGGTGTCCTGAGATGGTGCCGGACCTCCGGCTGCTCGGCGGTTCCGAGGCCGCGGGAATGTCCGTGGGTGTCGCCTTAGCGTTCTGGAAGCTGGACTTGTCCGGCCAGGTCCCGCCGCGATCGCGCGCGGAGCGGGGCTTCCTGAGCGGGTGGCGGGTGGCGAAAGGCGGGGGGCCCTTACCCCGAAACACCGCTCTTCTGTTAGAAGCAGGAGTTCGTTCAGAGCGGTTCTGGGCCAGCCCTGCCAGCCCTAATGTTTGGAGTCGTTTGTCCTCTCCGCACTGACGTGCGGACATCAACGATGAGGACAGTGATGATGATAATGATTGCTGTCACACACTGCCCCGGGTCCACGCCTCCTAGCCCTCTTTCCACTCGCCGCTCCGGGGGGACTCTCTGCTCCTGTTTGGCTTAGGCTTCCGAGCCGAGGCTCGGACCTTAAGTGAGACCCTATGGCCTAGCCCGCTGCCTCCAGCCTTGGCCTCTCCGGCACCAGAGCGCGTTTGACCCAGTGGACCCCGCCGTCTCCGCCTGGAGGCGGTAAACCGCCCCCCGTGGGCTGTCGAGCAAACCAGCCTGGAAGCCGGTGAGGCTCCCCTGAGGCTGCTCGTGAACCGTCACGTTCTCTCTGCCTCAGCTTGTCCTGCGGCCACACCCTCATGGTGCCTCTCTTTTCTAGTTTCCCGGAAAACTGAGCAAAGGCTAGTGGAGGTCTGGCCACGCAGCCACTGCGCATGTACACCTGCAAAGTGGAAACAGTCAGCCTGATGAAGCACCTCCTCTTGGTGATAGGCCATCAGGGGTTTTTTAACTCTTTTACTCTTGTTTGGTCTCGTACTGGTCCCAGCATTCTTCCCGCCCCCCCCCCCCCCCCCCCCAATGACTTCTTGTCTTGTGGAGGGTTGTACCCTGATAGCTGAATTCCGTGGGAGGCTCTGTAAGGTTGAGTCCAGCCAGTTCAGTCCAGACAAGACGAGATCACCAGCACGTGGGGTAGTATTTACCAAACATCCAGACAGTGATTACAGCAGTGATAGTCATCGCCCTAAAAAATGTGTCTCTTACCCAATAACGTAGACCTGCAGAACAAGTTTTAGTTATTTGTTTTTTTTTTATTTCTCATCCGAGGATATGTTTATTGAAGTGGTTTTTCTTTTGTTTTTAAGAGAAACATTGATCAGTTGCCTCCTGTACACTCGGGACCAGGGATCCAGCCCACACCCCGGGCTCCCTGCTGACCGGAATCAAACCCCTTAAACCCACCTGGCCAAGTTACAAAACAAGTTTTCAACAATTATCAAGTACTGCTGTTCTATTTTTATCACTTTTTAAAACATGACTTTGATTTATATTTTACTCCAAGTAATTGGTCACTAAGGGTTCTTAATGTATATTATAGATTTCTCAGAACTATTTTGAATAGCTTTATTCAGATATAATTAACATACACAACTCACCAGTTGCACAACTTAGTAGTTTTTAGTGCTTTCTCTGAGTGTTCAGCCATCACCACGATTCTTACCACCCCAAGGGGAATCCCAGCCCCCTTAGCAACCCCTCTTGACCCCCAGTCTCCCCACTTCCCAGCCTGGGCAGCCACTGTGTTACTCTGGTCTCAGTAGAGTCTCAGATTCTGGTTGGAGGTTTCATATAAAGGGAATTATATGTGGACTTTGTTACTTTTTTACTTAGCATAACTTTTACAGACTTTATTTATTTTTACGGAAAGGAGAAGGGAGGGAGAGAAACATCTGCTGGCTGCCTCTCACTCACGCCCAGCTGGGGCCCAGGGCCTCAGCACAGTGTTTTCAGGGCTCGGCCAGGCTGTGGTGCATGTCTGCACTTCATCTCATTTCACGGCCACATGCTCTTCCCCTGTGTGAAGCTACTATGTTCTTGTATCCATCAATCGATGGGCAGTGATTTCCATGCTTTGGCTGTTACACACACAGTGCTGCCGTGATCACTCACGTGCAGGTTTTTGTTTAGGCACGTGCTTTCATTCCTCACTGGCCGGGACCTGGGAGTGCAGAAGTGGCTGAACCCGGCCTCCCTGCGACACCAGCTCTCGGCACCCATCCGGGACCTGAGGAATCCATTGTGAAAGTCAGTCTGTGTTCGTGTGTCTGTGGGGAGAGTGAGTGCTAGCTGATGAGTGAGAGCATTTCCAGGCAGCTCTTTTTTGTTGATTGATTGATTGATTTTTAAGTTTTTATGAGTTTATTCATGCCAAATTGACAATTGCATGGAAGCCAAAATCTCAGCAGATTGAGAAACTGCTCCCTGGCAACTCTTTAGGTTTTATTTTTAGAGAGACGGGAAGGAGAGAGGGGAGAGAAACATCATGTGCAAGAGAGACATCAGTTGATTGGTTCCCTCTCACACACCCCCAAGTGGGGGCCTGCCCTACAGCCCACACATGTGCCCCAATGGGAATGGAACTGGCAACCCTGAAGTTCAGAGGCCCAAGCTGCAGTCTGATGTGCCCCACCAGCCAGGGGTGAACTATAGGGTTTTGGTCGGGTGTGTTTGAGTTGGAAAGGGGTGGCCTGTGTTAGAATACGTAGAGATTGGTGAGCTTTAAAATGACAGCTTGCTCAGTTGCATTTCTCAGCTGGGGGAGTGGGTTGTAATTTCACTAGAATTTTTTATTTTTATTTTGGAGAAAGTCTTAGAATTCTGTAGGAGCTAATAAAGCATGGATTAAAAAATAGTTATTGGATTCATGTTAATTTGTGGAACTTCAAAGAAAGTTCCCTACTCAGACCACCATTGAGTTTTGAGACTAGAGGTCTGGTAACCACACAACTTTGTTAATGTTTTAAATGACAAGTTTTGATTTGCGGCAGAGATATCTAGATTTTTATTTTTCTCTTTGCAAACCAGGATTATAGATCTGTTCAACTCCATATTACTGGAGTAGTAAATAATCTTGTTACATTGTAATTTTATTATAGTGGAAAGAAATGGCCTAAAAACAAAGAGCTTCCTGAATTAATTTAATTAAACATTAAGTTGTAATGTGTCTCTGTCACGGTTCTAAGGGTAGGTAAGGAATATAATGTAGGTATGACATCCTATTATTTTATCTTTATTGTGTTTTTTCCCATTACCAGGACATTCTAAATTAGTGTGTCTGAGGTGGGTGGCATAAATTACTATATATCTTTTTTTTTTTAAAGATTTTATTCACTTATCTTTAGGGGGGAAGGGAAGGAGAGACGGAGAGAAATATCAATGTATGGTTGCCTCTCATGTGTCCCCCGCTGGGAACTGGCCTGCAACCTAGGCATGTGCCCTGACTGGGAATCAAACCGCGATTGGTTCACAGGCCCGTGCTCAATCCACTGAGCTAACCAGCCAGGGCTATATATCGTTTTATTATTTTTTAATCCTCACCTGAGGATATCTTTATTGATTTTAGAGAGGAGGTTGGGGGGCGGGGAGGGAGGAACATTGGTCAGTTGCCTTTCGGTGCACACCTGGACCAGGAATTGAACACACAGCCTAGGTGCGGGCTCTGACCCGGAATTGAACCCGGGACTTCTCAGTTTACTGGATGGACAACACTCCGCCCAACCATGGCAATTCTGAGACTTTTTAAAGCTTCCATTTCGACCCTGAGTTGCTGTGTTCTCCCCCTTCTGTTTTGGAACTGTACTGCACAGTTTATCCCTTGCTCTGTGTTTCTTTAAAGTGTAAAAGTGCTTAAGTCTCTGTACCTGCCCAGAAGGAGAACGGAGCAAGTGAGCGCTTAGCCCCGTCGCTCCTTTTAGCCTCTGTCCTTTCTTTCCTGCACACAGTGCTCTGTGTTTGGAAGAGCGGACTGACCGTGCCACTCACCCCAACCTGTGCGGCCACCATGGGACCCTGGCGCTTTCCCTCTCAGATGTTCCGCCCACACTCTGGCCCCTACTGACTCCTGGGCACACTCCATCTTGGTCTGTTCCCAGCTTTCGGCTGCCACTGTCCTCTGCCAGCTTCTCACCTTTTGGCCACCCCTGAAATGTTAGTGTTGCCCTGAATTCTAATTGTATTTCTTTTTCATATCATGTCTCCTGAGAAATAAATATTTCTCTGCTTCTTCCTCTGGTCGTCATGCTTGGGGTGGGGATGGTGATGGGGGTACAGAGTTCTTCCCTCCCAACCCCTCACTGAGAGTCGTTGATACAAATAAGATTGAGGATTTACTGAGCTTTATTTTCTATACTTTGTAATGTGAAAACAGTAGGTTGTGTTTCCTGTGTTTTCAAACTCTAGCCCCTCTGCACACTCCCTGCGATGTTGGCTCCCTCCCCATCCTTCCCACTGCTTGGTGCGGGTACAACTTTGTGTCTCCAGTCCATACCTCTTTCTGCATTTAAGACCTGGGTATCCAACTAGTTGTTGTATGTCTCCACCTGGACAACCCGTAGGCGTTCGAAAATTCAGTGTGCACCAAAGCGAACTTGGTGCCCTTGTCCCCAAACCAGCCCTTCTCTTGTACCATTTTCCATGCAGCTCACTCAGGCAGTGTCTCACTGAGTTACTTGACATACCTTTGAACTTGGCCTGTTTTCCTGTCCACCACCTTCCTGCTGGTGTTTTTGTCCAGCTCATGGAAGATTTTCCCAATCTTCCTCTAACTTGTGTACTTGTCTTCCATCTCCCGCACCAGCTCCAGGGTGAATTTGGAAAGTGCCGTAGGATCTGTTAATGTGCTTCTGTGGCTTAAAGCCCTTCTGTGATTTCTAAGGGGTTCTGCAGTAGTTTTTAGCCTGTTTACATCATTACGTAATTTGTGAATCAAATGAAAGAAATGGAGTGTTTTTCTCTCCAGAAAGAAAGGCTCATGCACATGGACTGTGCACACAGTTTTAGGAGGTTCGTCCGTGGACACAGCCGCAGTAGCTCCTGGAGTGCAGGATCCAATACAAACTTCCTAGCCTCCCCCACCAGACCGGCATGGCCGGCGCTGACTTCTGCTTAGGCCTGTTGAGCCCCACCCTCTGGGGTGCAGGACACGTGCCAGACGCCGTGGTTCATGTGTCGTCCATGCTGTTCCGCTCTGCCTTCTTCAGCCCTGCCTTTCCTCTCATGTCCATCCCTTTCCCACTGCCCGCTAGTTTGGTTAGTAAATACCTCTTCCTTCCCCACAGGGCTCAGGTTTTCCTTAACAAGCCTTCTCCGATTTGTACTTCCCCTCCCCCCTCCCCAGGGAGGCGGGCCTGTTTCCTCTCCTGGGCGCTGCCTCCCACTCTGTGGATACTGACTTGTACCATAGAACTTTATTGTTCTTACTTGTTTATATACTTTTGTTTTCTTCTCCTTAATTGAGTACTCCTGAGGGCAGGTGATTGATTAGATGTCTTTGTGTCTGATGCCTACGGCACACCTTGTACCTTAAGGCACATGTTGAATGAACACACACAAAATTGTCAGAAGGCATTGTCTTCTATTTTAATAGATATAATTACCAGGTCTATATGCCGGCTTTGTGGAATTGGAATGTCTTCTAAACTGTAAATTGAGAACATAGTGTGTTACAGTTGTTGGGAAACTGCCTTACAAGCTTTAAGAAGAGTAGGTCCCAGTTAGGTCTTGGTCGCTCACACAAAGGGACCCCACAATACTCACAGGCTCGGACAGGTACTTACAGAGAGGTCATCTCTCAGAATGGGCGGGACAGCTGGGAGGGGCAGGAACCAAGGGCTGTCCTGCTGCAGGCTCTGCCAGCGTCCAGCCGCAGGACTAGGGTGATCAGTACCTCTGTGGACCCGCACCACTGCCTTTTTTGCAGATTACTAGAATGTCTCCCAGAGCCCAAATCCTAGGTGTGGCCCTCTGGCTCGGCTGCACCTAGACCACCTCTCATCCTCTGGGTGCTACAGACCAGGACAGGAGGGAGAGCATCTGGCCCACCGTGGCCTCTGTAGTGGGGGTTTGTCTTCTGCTGAGACGGACCCTGGAGGATGCAGCCTAGGTCGGAAGTTGGGTCAGATGGCCGGCTGACCAGAAAGTGAAACCAAAAGGTGAGAGCCCACTAAAGCACTGGGGAGTGGAGTGCAAGTGTGACCGGATGTTCTGCACGCCCCGCAAGAACATGGGGGTGTTGCCTGTGTTCTGTGGTGTCAGCTGCAGCACTTGCCCCTTCCTTTGGAGAAGGCAGTAACGCGTTGAAATGCCTCTGTGACGCTTACGGGGACTTCTGAAGCTGAACTGGGCAGTCCAAGGCATGTTGTTTGACTTGGTGGGTATTTTGGTGTAATTTTATAGCACTGCCCCCAGTAGATAGAAACATTAATCGTTCTAGCACATTTCTCTGTTCGTTACAGATCTTAGCTTTTGCCAGCCTTGCCTGTCTTTATTCCTAATGTTTGCTCATTATCCACACCTTTTTCTTTTACTGGATAATTCTTGAGATCTTAAAGCAGTCCATATTTTGTTTTCAGTGGGAAACAAAGGTATTTGGAAACCTCTTACTAAGACACTTTAGGTGGAAACAATTAGTAAGGTACACAGTAAGGGTCAGTCATTTGTGGGGATAAAGTGTACAGTATGGGGACTATAGTTAATGATACCATGCTGTCGTGACTGGTGTTCAGTGTCATCCTCCAAACTGAAAGGTCCCTGGTTCAGTTCCCGCTCAGGGCACAGGCCTGAGTCACCGGTCCTCCTGGTTGGGGTGTGTATGAAAGGCAACTCATTGATGTTTTCTCTCACACATCAGTGTTTCTCTCTGCCTCTTTCTCCTTCCCTTCTCCTCTCTCTCTAAGTAAATCAATCTTTTTTTAAAAGGTACATGGCAGGTAAAACCGCTGCTAAGTCTGTGTGAAAAAACTGTACTCGTGTTGATTAGGAAACAAGTTAGGAGGCCTGACAAAGAGATTCAGAAAATAGGAGCTTCAGTGACAGTCCAGACCAGGAGCCAGTTGTCAAGGCTGCCCAGGCCTCTGTGCTGCATGTGGTCATCCAGGGACCCAGGAGTCTTCTGTCCGGCTGCTTCACGGTCCTCTACAGTGGCGTCCTGGTTTGCACGTCACAGCGAGGTGTCTGCCACGTTCACATTCTCAAGTCCTAGAAAGAAGGGAGCAGGAAGTCTCAGGAAAGACCCACACGGTGCAGAGAGCAGACTGTCTGCTCACGGGCCTGCGCGGGGCTTGAGGCCGTGGAGCATCACGGCGCAAAGGAGGCTGGGAGACAGACTGCAGCTGGGGGGCCAGGGGCCTCGCTGACGCTGAGGAGGCGTTTTTAGTAAGAAGAGGAGAGAACGTGCGCTGCGGTGGGGGTGGGGCACGACCACTGGTAAGTAAAGTGCACTTTCGAAACATTACTGGGAAGAGGAGTCTGACAAGTACTTATTTTGGTATTTAGTTGACTAATTGGAGTCCGTGGGAAAAATGTCCTGGCTCATAACCGACTTTACACTGAAAGAACACGTCTCTGCCGTAGGTTGCGCACCTCTGCCCGCAGACCCTCCTGGAGCGCCGCTGCCGCCCCATGGCGTCCTCTGCTGCTGTGCCCGCGGGCTTTCACTACGAGACCAAGTTCGTGGTGCTCAGCTACTTGGGGCTCCTCTCTCAGGGGCCCCCGCACGGGCAGCGCCTCTCCTCAGCCCCAGGTACTGTCCTTGGCGGAGGCGGTTGTATTGAGTATGGTGGTGGCTTCCTGTGCAACGGCATGTGCGTCGCAGGTGGTTTATACTTGTGGTTCGCGTGCTCACGTGGTACCAGTGCGCTCTTAAGGAGTGACCTCTCTTCCCTGACCCGTTCCAAGAAGCAGCTACTTGTGAATGCTTTTTAAGAGATCGATGTTTTGTTTTGTTTATATATGTATTTTTTTTTAGTTTCTTATTTTTAAATCCTCACCCAGGTACATTTTTTCATTATTTTTAGAGAGGCAGGGAGAGAGGGTTTATAGAGAGGAGAAGGGAGGAAGAAAGAGGGAGAGAAGCACTGATGTGACAGAGAGACATTATCAGTTGGTTGCCTTTCATATGTGCCCTGACTGGGGACTGAACCTGCAACCCAGGCCTGTGCCCCGGCGACGACCCCCAGCCAGCTGAGCTGCTGGCCAGGGCAGGAGCCAGGTATTCTAAACAGTTGCCCTTGGGACAGGTCCGAACCTGCTGCATACATGTAAATAAACAGAAGCCCGCCTGTCGTTAGGGATTTCGTACTTAATAAGATGCGCATGAGAGTCACATAATGAATTTTCTGTTTATAATACAATTTAATTTAGTCTCTTGAATTGTGTTTTTTCAAGGATATTAGATTTAAACAATGAAGTCTCATATGTGATGGTTTTTTAAGTTTTTAAAATTTATTTATTTACTTACTTACTTATTTTCAACTCTGCTGGCATCCCAGTATGGTTCACAACGGAGTCGGTGTGAACCGGGCCCAGAGTGCCGACCAGCCGCGGCTGCTCCTCTCCCCGCGGCGGGACACCTGCCGAGGTGCAGGGCAGCCCAGGCAGCTGCTAGCGCTGGGGTGTTTTCAGTCCTCACCCGAGAACGCGTTCGTTGATTTGAGAGAGAGAGATAAACACCCACGTGAGAGAGAAACGTCAGTGGGTTGCCTCCCGCACATGCTGTGACCAGGGATGGAACCCACAGCCTTTTGGCGCACGGGGTGATGCTCTAACCAACCGAGCCGTGTGGCCAGGGCATGTGTGTGTATTCTTAAATATTGACTCATATTTAAAGGACCCCAAGGTAGGTTACTGTTCTAAACAAAATTACATCAAAATGACTTCAAAATATTGATTTGAGAGAAACATCAATTTGTTGTACCCTTTATTTGTGCATTCATTGGTTGCTTCTTGCATGTGCCCTGACCAGGGTTGGAACCCGCAATCCTGGTGCACTGGGGTGATGTTCTAACCAACCACCACCTGGCCAGGGCTTCCAAATGACTCGTAAAACTCATGAAAGAAAATGTGATACTAAACACCTAGTTTATTGTGTTGCCACACTCACACAACTGTTCTACTCTCTGTCGTCTTATGATCTTCATTGATGTTTACGCAGTTTTTACGTAATTGGGGTCCATTATTTTTGATTTTTGCACGGGTTTGAAACATGTTTCCACGTTCATCTGCTTTGTGGTGCGTGCAGGTGTTTTCTTACCCTCTCACCCAGCGGCACTGCCCTGCCGTTTGGGGTTTGCCGTGGAAGCCTGGCTGGGTCACTGGCCCTGGCAGTAGGACTGCAGTTGGCACAGTTGATTAAAGAGGGCATCGTACATAAAGAGTCACACATAAGAAATTTTATTTTAAAATTTAATAAGTGTGCATTCACTTAGCAATTTTGAAGTAAGGCCAGGGCTTTTTGTTTGTTTGTTTTAAATATGGGTCTGTTGTTTATAATTCCAATTTATGTTTAAAGCAGAGTAAGAACATAAACACGGGTACAAGATGTGGTTGAAGGGTCATTCCAGATTCTTATGATTCTCCCCCATTCTTTCTAGTTGTTTCTGTCACACCTGACCTGAAACGGTATTTTTTTAATTTAAATAAACTAGTACCTCTAAAATTTTAAACGGAGAGAGAGAGAAACATAATTATTCCTTTTTTCCCCCAACTCCTCTAAACGGTATTTTTAAAGCAACTTCCCAAAACATTTAATTTAGGTTTCATGGAAATAACAAGTGTCTTTGTACAGCCACATTTCAGTGATGTCTGTGATTTTGAATAAATTAGAGAATTTCAGTTTCCACTTTTATAAACAGGGCGGGCGGAAAAGAACCAGCCCTTGGGAACCGCGCAGCTTCCACCCTGCCGGGGGCGTCCGCAGGGTTTGCAGTGAGGCTGCGCCAGGCCCCTGGGGACAGCAGGTCACGTCAGTGGGGGTGACTTGGGGGGTTTCTACTGTACACTGAGTTTTAAAAAATTATTTATTTTGATTAATTAGTATCTAGAGTCAAACTACTGAACTGAAGAATAATACTGCTTTCATGAGGGCCTTGCCATTTAAAATAAATTAACTTGTCAAACCATGTAGGTTATCTTTTTAGGTTCTCACACAGTGTTCTAAAAACCAGTTGTCACTCCTGAAACTCTGGGTCCCGTTGCTCCGAGCCTCAGGCGTGCAGACTCTGTAGGCATCTGCCCTGGGCCACGGGGTCCCGCGCGGACCGGGCTGCACTGGGAGCGGCTCCTGCACAGATGGGCAGGGCCTGAGGTTGGCCGGTATCTGCGCGGCACTTCAGTCTGGAGGGCGGTTCTGGTGATCAGTTTTAGGGAGCACGTGGTTTTTACACTCCAGGCCCCTGGCACTCTGGGCGCCAAGGCAGACAGCAGGACTGCGGGGTCGGAGCTAGACAGTTCCTCATCCCCACCCAGCAGACCCCAGGAGCGTTACCATGGTGACGCTGGTCTGCACACTAGCTGCACGGGGTGCAGTGCGAAGCCCCTCCCCCAGGGGGCCGAGGTCACCTTGTGGTCATTTCCACCTGCGTATGCTACAGAGATGGCTCCTGGACAGTTGGGTTTGGGGGGTCACCCTGAGCAAGGATATGGGGGTGCTTGGGACCCTAACCCTCTGGACGTCGTGCAGTGGCGTGACGCAGGGTCTCCGGCTGGTCCGGTTCACACAGCGCTGGGCCGGCCGGGCAGCGGCTTTGCGGCGCTGACCTCAGCCACACCCTGGGGCCCGACTGCAGCGGGGCCTGGGGGGCTTCTCAGACCCACCAGTGTTAGTACCCCCTCACCAGGAGGTATTGGCAGCTGCTCGGGCCAGGACGGGTCCGGAACAAGACTGTTCCTCGTGACAGCCCGCCTGACGGCACTCAGACCGACCGCTGACTTCTAGGGCTTGTGCCAGCACGCTGGCTCGGGTGGCTACAGTGGAGGCAGGGTTCTGAAATCGAACATAAAAATAAAATGTGATTCAGAGTTCACTTCTGTGCCACACTCATAAATAGGACCTGCCGCAGCGGTCAGCGGTGTGGGTGGGCTCGGTCTCCAGCGCAGGAAGCAGGAAGTGTGCGGGGAAGAGGCAAGAGGTGGAGGCCATATGCGTGACTCAGGGTTTCTGTCACGTAAAATGTCTTCCATTTTTTCCTCAGTGAGTCACGTGCTGTATACAGACCTTTTTATTTCACATTAAAAATTTTTATTTTTCAGCCCTGGCTGGTGTAGCTCAGTGGATTGAGCACGGGCCTGCGAACCACACGATCGCGGTTCGATTCCCAGTCCGGGCACATGCCTGGGTTGCAGGCTGGTTCCCAGCAGGGGACTGACCAGAGGCAACCACACATTGACATTTCTCTCCTTCTGTCTTTTCCTTCCACTCTAAAGATAAATAAATAAAGTCTTTTAAAGAAGTTTACTTTTCAATTACAGTTTACATTCAGTGTTACGTTGGCCTGGTCTTGGGTGCACCGCGCAGGGCTCGGACAGGCACACTTCACAGGGCGCCGCCCGGTGTCCCCGGGCCGGCCGGGCGCCCTGCACATCACCTCAGTGCTGCCGACTGTGGTCGCGGCCTGCAGACCCTTCGCAGTAGTTGACTGCACTTTCACGGGACGACTCAGCTCTTCTGGACGGTGTGAGTTTGTGCTGAACACAGTCGACCCTGTTAAGAATAACGTATTCTGGCTAGCACAAGTCCTGCTGAGTGACATATTTCTTAACAGATTTTACTTTATTTATCTTTAGAGGGGAAGGGAAGGAGAGAGGGAGACAAACATCAATGTACGGTTGCCTCTCATGCTTCCCCTTCTGGCAGCTGGCCTGCAACCCAGGCATGTGCCCTGACTGGGAATCGAACCGTGATCCTCTGGTTCACAGGCCCACGCTCAGTCCACTGAGCTACACCAGCCAGGGCCTAAGTTACATATTAGATGTGAAATAACTTCTGCTATGCTCAACTTTCCACATACGATTAATACAGAGTGCCTTGATACTATAGTAATCAGATACTTGTTAATGGAAAAAATACAATAAAGATTAACTTTTAAAAAAGACATTTCTCTCTTAGGTTTGGAAGGAAACTTCACGTGTGGTAACTAGTAACGTGACTGTCAGATCATGTAGTTGTGATACTGGTCTGATTTGTTCAGCATTGTTCATGCGGGACAGTAGTTCCACATTTCCCTCCTCCTTCCATCCACTACTCTACTTTCTCTCTCTGAATTTGGCACTTCTAGGCACCTCGTTCGAATTAGGTAATATTTGTCCTTTTGCGTCTGCTTCAGTTTGCTTAGCGTAATGTCTAAGGTTCATCCATGTGTGGCATATATTAGAATTTCATTTCTTTTTAAGGCTGAAAAATACGAGGGGGTACCCCCCCAAAATGGAATTTTCTTCTGGAGGGCGGGCCCCTTGTAGGACAGGCTTCCCCCGCTAGGTGAGTGTTCTAGGAACCCAACTGCAGCAGTGCGCCAGCTGGCGTTGTTGTGAGCGGCCGCGTTTGGCTTCAGTGAACTTTTTTGAAGACTCAGTGCATGTGCCCATTTCATGATGGGTGATTTACGAACGCACCTGCCCACACCACGCTGAGTGTTCGACAGTGTCTGACCCAAAACAGCATGAGCCCCACGCCCCACCCTCCCTACTGCCTGATCTCACCCTGAGTGACTTTGTTTTGTTTCCATGGATGAAAAATGTCCTCAAGGG